GTCTCATTTTCTCCAGTGGAAACTGCAGCCAGAGAGATTTACATGCAGACATAAGTAGTTTGGACTTTTTTTTTTTCTTTTCCAGCACATGCAGCACAAACCGCCACTGCACACACATGGAGCTTATGTCCCTTGTGTCTTGGTGTGCACTGGGGACACAAATGCATGGTGGCTTTGCACACTTCCCTAGTGATCAGTGGAGGCTTGGGATGATGAGTATCACCCTTCGGAGTTTTCACATTAACGTGTTGGGGATGGGGCATCCTTTCCCACCCACGAAGACGAAACCAAAACCACTAAAATAAAGAACAGGGCTAGGGAGATAGCTCAGTAGAATAAGTGCTTGCCTGGCAAGCGCAAGGTCCTGAGTTCAATCATCACTATTATTCCTCAATAAATAAATAAAAATTAAAACCGGGCAAGATCCTCCTTAGCCTGGGATCATCTCCACCCTCTCGATTATCCGTTGCCAGCCTTGAATCTTCCGTGAGTGCGTCCTGTTGTTTTTGAGATCCAGTAAACAGCAGCCGGGTTGGCGTGTCTTTGTCTTTGCCCATCTGGAGGCATTGAGCTCCCCCCAGTCGCCGTTCAAGTCTCAGTAAGTTGGCCTCTGTTTCCTATTTTACCCTCTCACTGTACCCCTGTACAAGAATTTGGGGATCTGGCCGGGTCCCGGACAGGTGTAGATTTTCCTTTCACCCTGGTGCCTTGGCTGAGCCTTTCTGCAGTGGGCAGAGAATCTTTTCTTCTTTCAAGGTTAGTGAGTCCTCATTTGCTAGGACTGTGCCACACAGGGGACAAGGGGAAGTCACTGCAGCTGCTCATGATGTGACACTCATGGAGACCCGCCTCCTCTCCATCTCTGGCTAGAGCTCTGCCGTCCAGCTTTTGCAGGCAGCCCCTCGGTATGCTAGAGCACTGTCACTCTGCACAGCGTTCATGTCCGTATTGGCCACGCCCTCCCAGAGTTGAGTACAGCTGCTCTCCTGGGATTTTTCCATCCTAATTTTCTATCCTAGTTATTTGTTCCCTTCTAGTTGAATAATTCCCTTTAAAAATCCTGTTCTTTCATACATGAAATGTTATTCAGACCTCAGGGTTTTTTTCTCACAAAGTTAGGATTGTAATTTTGAACTAGCATTAGGGTTTTTTTTCTTTTTTTTTTTTTTTAGTACAGGGTCTACAGGGTCTTACTACACAGATGGGACTTGTACTGATCCTCCTGTATTTAGCCTCCCAAGAGTTGGGATTACAGGTGCATGCCACCATGCCCAGTCTCAGCATTAGGGTTTGTCTTGAGTTCTGTTTTAGAATTTATCTGATTTATCAAAGCCAAAGACTTTGTTTTAGGCTTTTCTTTCAGTATCTTTCACTTAAATCTTTAATACTTCGCTATATCAAATTTTTAATGCTTCTACTATTTCAAGTTGGGCCAGGGGATCTGAGTTAGAGGGCTGAAGCTAAAATTTAACCAATCGGAGTGTTTTAAGTGTACTAATAAAATGCATTACAGTAAAGATAATCCTTCCTTCTTATAATTTAGTATGGCTTTCATTCAAAACCCACTGACCAAACCTAAAGAAATAAAGGACTGTCTCTACCACCAAGACATTAGGTTGATGACACTGGACACTGCAGGAGGGTAAGATGTACTCTTCCAATTCAGCCTTCTCAGTTTGCCTTGCACTTGGGAATTGCTCTTGGCAGTTGTCAAGAATACAGACGTTCAAGCCCCACTCCTGGTGATTTTTACTTTGGTTTGGGAATGAGACAGCTTACATTTGAAAACAAACTTCATAGGTAATGCTGAAAAATAGCCATCTTGAAAAAGCCATCTTGACACAGCCCGTGGGAGAAAGTGGGATCCCAGTTGGGCTTGTGGATGCACAGAGAGGAGATGCTCGAGTTAGGTCAGAAGATGCCCTTGTCCTGCTGGCTCACCCGGGCGCCAGCTGTTGAGGCAGACTGGGGTTCAGTGGGGAGCTCGGTATGAGGTCCAAGGCAGCCTGTGTTAATATCGGGGCAATGTCCCCTGCTGCTAGTTTGTTGTACAGGGCCCAAACATAATCTAGATAAAGGAAATGACTCCAACATTTCAAAGCATCACTCTTCTTCGCTTGCTTTGACCTGTTCCTATGTAATCAGAAATATCCTGGTCTTCCTGGCCTGTGATGCAAATGTCCCTGTATTGGCATACTTGCCAAATGCCATGCTTTTATCTTTCTTCTGTTCAACTAGGTGTTTCTTCTTTGAGGACTGACCCACAGTTACCTGGTAAACACTCTTAGCTCTTCTGGATCTGCGCCTGCTGCTTGGGGCCCTCCTCTTGGGTTGGCCGTCCTGGAAGTGCTTCCCTGCGGGCACTGTGGTTCTCAGGGCGCTGGAGCTGCCGTGCTGTGCACAGAGGGGGGCACAGAGGTGACTGAGCGCCCACCCGGCTGCGTGTCGGGTGTTTGCTCTGGGCCTTGGCTGCTCAGAGCCTTCGCTGACACTGCTCACTCGTCATCTTGGCTAGGCACCTTTTACCATTTTTCTTTTTCTTTTTTTTTTAAACATCCTCAAACATCTTTTTTATTTAAGAAAGAATAAAAATTTTAAAAAACATTAAAAATAGAGAATTTCAAAACAAGGTAATAGGATATCAACAGTGGTTGTTACATTGCATATTATCTTCAAGGTAGTTGAATACTACATATAAGTATGTAAAATTGGTCAGAAGTAATCATTAACTATTCATTAAAATAAACCAATAGAAATTAGTACAATCATTTTAGCTACAGAAACAAATTCGATAGACATATTTTTTCTTAATCAACTTTCTACTTTTTCTCAAATGAGAAAAAAGTAGAGCTCATGAAGGACAGGTGTCAGCCTGTCTCCTTGATTGATAGACCAACTGATCATTCATTGAAGGGTTTAATAGTTACAGCGCACACGTGTTACACGTATATGGGTCTAAATACCAAAGGCCTTCTGTATGCAGGTTGTAGAAACTTGAAGAGACAGCTGTCCCTGCAGATAGCTAAGATTTTTAGCAACAAATAAAGGTTTTCCAAGGTCTTCCGGTACAGAACAAGTAGAATTGAAAAAACTCTACCATTACAGAGGATGTGATTATGACTGATGACTTTAGATCTTAATGTCAGCAAATTCCAAAAAAAGATAAAAATGAGAAATTAATTCTGATCTCAACTTAGGCCAAGTTTCATTATTTTAGGACAAAATGTGTGCTACTGTATAGTGTTATAGTCTACAGTAGTATAATCTACACTGAGTGCAAGGAACTGATTTACTTCTCGGCTTTAAGCTTCTTTGGGACATACTCGGGTCCTGTCCCCAGTCACGGTCTCTCTTTTGAGCGCGAGGTCCAGATTGCCAAGTGGAACCCGTCCACGCCAAATGTCTCCTGTAGGAAAGCAACACAGGTTGTTGTATCAGGTGAAATAAATTTGGAATTGGGTAGACAAACATACTGCCTTCTCACTTCTAGGGTCCCTTCTCTTGTGTTTGTTAAATTGGGTAGAACTTCTAGAATAAAATGGAAAGGTGACGTTTTCTCTCCTAGGTTTTATTAGTATTTCTTTTAGTGCTTCATATTAGCACTGTGAGTGTTGCTTTTGGCCTGTGTGAAGTATGTTTGCTGTGACCTAAAATTAGTATTTCTAGTGATGAGAACAAAGAACTTTCGTAGTTCATTGAATTTTTAAATAATCAGTTAAAATGTTCAAATATCTTAGATAAGTAAAAACAGATATAAAGCTCATTTATTTGTGGCTACAAAGACTAAAATAATATTTAAATTATTTTAACTACTTTTAATTGAGAAGTTCATATATGGCAAGTATTATTGGGGAATTTATGTACTATTGCTCATATATCTAACTTTGCTTTTGAAATATTGTTAGATACGATTTTATCTTTTTTTTGTTTTATGAGTTATCTCTGCGTAACCTTTTAAAAAAGTGATGCTTTTCCCTAAGGCTTATAGAATATTATTTTCTTCTCTATTTTATTTCATCTTGCTGATAGTAAGAAACTCTTAATATACTGTTCGTTTCGTGACCCACATACACCAGCAGCCTTAGTAACTAATAGTCACACCTCAAGCGACATTAGGGGAGGTGTGTGGTCCATCAGTATAAAATGACCTTGTTATGAGCTTTTAATGCTTACACATGATAGTCTATATGCAAATATTTTTATTTAAAGATAAATGTCTCATCTTAATGCATAATAATTACCTTTAGATCTAAATATGATACCATTGATGACGTGCTTAGCCTAATTTAGTAGCCACTCTCTAATCCTGCAAAATCACCCAAATATGCAGTAGTCCCTTGCTATTTTGTGATTTGACTTGCACGGACCTCTGTTTTACAGATTTTCAAAAAATATTAATCTAAATTATTTATCTTGAAGTTTTTGCTACATTGCAGGATTTTGTAGTACTCTGCAGTATTCATGTGTTGTTAAAATTATGTAGGTTTATGAGTTTAGAAAATGGTTAAGAACATTACAAGTGGTTTTTAAAAGTGTGGGAAAAGTTTATGAGTGTAGGGTTTATAAAGCCTTAAAATATATAAATACTAAAATAAATATAACGTCGCTACTTCACTGATTTTCTTGAACATAACCTCCATGATAAGTGAGGGACCACTGTATTTAAGTCCAGTGACTCAATAAACAACATATAGAAAGGTAACATCGTTATTTTTTTTTATATTTTTATATTTTTATTTTATTTGTGTGTGTGTGTGTGTGTGTGTGTGTGTGGCCAGCTCAGCCCACCAGGGGGCGGGGCTGGCTGGCATGTGGTGCTGGGGGATTGAACCGCGGTCCCTGTGCTTTGCTAAGCTTGTTCTAAGTAGGTGCTTTAGACCACTGAGCCATCTCACCAGCCCCAACATCATTATTATTTAAGATGTTATTGAACATTCTGCAGATATAACGGAAGTTCAAGCTACTGAGATATGTTTTTCTATTTTCCACCTTCATTATAGGAAGCATATTCTTTAATTGAGAAGACTGAAGCCGAACAAAATGCCTTGTTTTCATATCAGAAATATTTGCAAAGCTCAAAAGTAAGGAAAAGCAGGATCCCTCCTCCACCCATCCTCCTCTCCAGAACTCATTGTTCTGTGACCCTCAAACCCACTCCGTTCCTTTCAGACGTTAAGGTATGCTGCCCTTCAGGGCTTTACTTCTTGGTGAACAATCTAAGTACTTTTATGACTAAATGACTCATCTTTTTATTGCTGTTAGGACCTGGTACTCTTATTTCTAGGCAGTGAACAACAGGTTAGCATTCCAGCGTTGTGGTTCCTTCGTGGCATTTCCCCCTTTGTGCCATTTGTGGACTGTTCTGGGTAGCTCTTCGCTAGCCTGATACACAGGAAGGAGAACCAGCGTCGAAGCAGCTCTCCCATGCATCTGCCGCTGTGCTCTAACCGAGGGCTGGCCCCTGAGGGCGAGCTCAACAGGGAGGCCCCATTGGAAGGGGACAGACAACTGAAGAGGGAGGGGTCCGGCCCCAAGCCCTCGCTGGGGATGAGGCTGCTGTGGATGGGGTGTGATGGGGAGGTTTTGAGGGTGGAGGTTCTGCCCAAAGTTCTTCCAAAGAAATGTGGATCCTTTTAACACAGACAAGTGATAATCCTGGCCCCCTAGGGTGTAGGGCATCCTACATGTTTACAGATGTATCAGGATGCGATTTCCTGGCATCCCTAATGCCTTGGAACCTGGCCTACATGTGACTAACCTCTGAGAGTTAGTTTCCTAACCAGAATTTGTTCCTACCTAACTTATATTTTAAATATTGCATTTCCTGCTTTGGGAGGATCAACAACACGCTCTTTGATGTATATACAAAAATAACATTTTATCTTCGATTCACTTTAGGGGCTTTTGCATGCAAAGACTGTTGGAAGTCCAGCCCATTGAGGTTTAAACTTCTAGGTCCACTCCTTATTAGCAGTGACACTTTAAGATGACAAAACACATGTTTATTTTGGAGACATTTTTTTGAGTTTTTTTCTTTGTAAAGTGTGTTAACTGAAAATAAAATGAGTTAGTGTGTAATATTCTTGGCGTATCAACAGATGTCTCACCACTACCTGTGGTAAGCTTTGATAGTACAGTTTATCAAAGGGAATACTGGAGTCGAAGGCTATGATTACATTATTTGGTGATTTTTCTTCATTGATTGTATCTGATGAGCATTTGTTATATGTGTGTAATCTGTCGCGCTCCTTGTTAAGCAGGTAAAGTGAAAAGTTAAAACTGGATGAAATGGGGTTCCATTCTCTAAGGCGCTCCAGATGAGGGGAGAGGGACACCGGGGGAAGCAGCGCTGCCACCTTCAGAGGGCTTTTAATGGTAGAACTAGATGTGCCCGGCACCTTACACCCAAGTGTGCTGTAATAAACGTGACTTCTAGTGACAGTAGTCATAAAGTTCAACTTGGAATTTTTTAGAGTCTTTTTAAAAGTAGGGCTTCACTGATTTAAAAAAGTAATATAGAATGAAAATTAGGTGATTTACCAAATTTTTGTTTTCAAATATTTTGGTTTACTTAGCCAAAATGTTAGTTTTCTTTATGTTTCAATCCAGTGACTTGTTTATTTTGTTTTATAATGCTTGGAAATCAGAAGATAAGCCTTACATATCTGATCTGCAGTTTTAGTATTTGTCTGTGGTGCATGGTAAAAAAGACGTAAATGGCAGTTGTTCCAGGACAGAGCGCCTAGTGGTTCTGACTCATCACCACTAGGTGGTGCTGTGGGCTTGGATATAGCTTCGGCTTTGTGGCTTCAGCCATCTTTTCTTATGCAAACCTCTTGTGAAGGCATTTGTTTCATTAAAATCTGTTTTCATAGCCGAAAATATTAATATTATTTACATTACTTATAAAATCTTCTCAAGTTAGTGATTTGTTCAGGATGCTTCTGTTCTTGCGTAGATTCTAATTACACTTCTGAAGAGTTACTGAAACTAAGATGTTTCCATCAGTGGAGCAGAGTAAAGATACAAAATGCGCTTGTAAAATGCTTTCAGAGAGAACTTTCTCCCCTCTCTGGCTTATGTGGTGTGACTTAGAGCAACAGTGGTCTAAGAGAACTTTCTCCCCCGCCTTCTGGCTTATGTGGTGTGACTTAGAGCAACAGCGATCTAAGTCATATAACACAGTCCTCCCCTGTACTTTTTTGCATGGAAAATCAAGGGATTTGAACTTTAGTTTTTCCCCTAGAGCTACCTGAGTTCCCACCTGCTCTGCAGCCTCCACATTCCCTGCTGACCTTTCTATCCTTAGAGCTCTCTCACCTCTCACTAGTTGTGCATGGAACAATTACCTGAGAAATTTTCTTTGGAAACACAAAAGCCCAGTTACTTATATCAGAAATTTTAATTCATGGAAGCAGCTGAAGAAAATGGGTGACTCTGGACAAACTGTTTTTGAAAAGCAGTTCTGGTGCACAGGCAGGATTGAGTCCTACTCACATAGATGAGACCCCGTTAGGGTTTTTCTTTTAGCCTGGAGGAAGGAGGAGTAGGTACAAACCATATAAGACACTTGGTTTTTAGAGACTATTACATTTTGCTTCTTCCCTGTGCTCCCTGTAGTTTAGAAGTTGCCTCTATGTGTGTGTGTGTGTGTGTGTGTGTGAGAGAGAGAGAGAGAGAGAGAGAGAGAGAGAGAGAGAGAGACAGCGATGTTCCTCACCCCTACCCCAACAGCGCGCTTGTTCACACAGCACTTCTCTTGGCATCAACTTGATCCCTTTTTTCCTACAGTGAGAATGGAGAATGTGGTTCATTCAGATAATACATCTCCATTATTTGGACATTGTGGCAGAAGGCCCATTGTGTGACTACTTAGGTTTCAGTTTGCATGGGCTTCATACCTGTGTTTGGATTATATCTTCATGTAAAACTATCCAAGTAATGCCATGGTACAGGCACTTATGGACTGGAGAAAAAATTGGTTTGTCATCTTATTATTTATCATGCAAACTCTCCCACTATTCTTATGTACACTTATATTTCATTTTAAATACTATATTATCTTGCTTCTCTTTTAATGTATTTGGTACAATGTCTGCAGGGTTTACAGGGTCTCACTAAGTGATCAGACTCATAGTGATTCTCCTGTTTTCAGCCTCCCAAGTGCTGGGATTATAGGCACACGCCCCCATGCCCAGGCCCAGTTGCTGTCTCAGCATGCCCTGGGGTCGGGGCCCACATGGCATGCCTGGGATCAAACCCTGGCCATTGCACTCTGCCTAAGCAGGTGCTTTAGTCTGCTGAGCTATGTGGCTGGCTCTATCTTGCTTCTTTTTCTGCTTGCTTTTGTTACCAGTTATCTTGATCATATATGAAAATCATTTCAGTAGTGATCTCTCTTCCATCAAGTCATTCTTGAGTCCATCCAGATTAAGTCATCTCTGGCATCAGCTTCTGCCCCTGTTTGCTTTGGGGCGGTTGTTTAGCATCTCAGTATCTCTATTTCCCATGGTAACAGTAATTCCATCTCATCGGGATGCTGTGAATATTAGTCTATCAATCTCCTGAGATGCTTCGTGCATAGGAGCCGTCCAGCAAATGATAATTAGAATGATAAATAAAGAACAATATTTGAATCTTGATTGTCCTAGGTAAGCTTCCCCTGTACTGTATTTGTCTTTGCTTTTGTAAAATTAAACTAAATGCCTTTATAGATGTAGACTTCATATTTTAAAGTACAGATGTTACTTTTCTATTTATAAAAGCATTCCTTGTGCTACGCAGAGACAAAGGAAATCAAATGCCTTCATGCAGACTACAGGTGACACACTCTTCTCTCTCCCTGGCAGGTGTCCTGGTACTGCATTTTGGGTTGTAAAGCAGAAGGAAGTTACGGAAAAGTGAGGCTGAACAACAACCATCTCCCCAATTCCGGAGAAGCGGTATGTCCTGTTAAATGGGAGAAAACTCTACCAAAGCCCACACATAGCAAACTGAATTTTTTCCCCTGGGAAGTCATGGTTTCAGTGAATCTAATTTCAACTTGAGTCATAACTAAAACAATGAAAGTATTTTTACATATAATGTTAGAAGTCACATTGTTTTAATTTTCGATGTATAACTTGAATGTGCTTTGTTAATAGATACCAGCTGATGGTAAAAGCATTTTTGAAGTGAAAGGTTTAGAAGCGAATGAAAAATACATATTTGCAACTGCTGCTTATTGTTCTAATGGGAAACTTGTTGGTGATGCTGTCGGGGAGACGACTAAGCCAATCCTGGTCTATCCATCACTGTCTGCTATTACTGCTCGAATGTACCTGATACAGGTAGAGGAGAATTCTGCTGTTTTTCTACTACTTTTTGTTAAGAATTGGATAATTTCTATTGGAAAAAAAATCACAGCAGATATTCTGATGCTCATGTAATACACATTTTCATGATTGCAGTATAGTCTGATAAAATGTGAATCATTTTTCTTCTATGAGTGAGTTTCCTTTCTAAAATAACATCCCCCAGGTCACAAACATAACACATAGTAATTGTAGAAATTTTGGAAAGTATTAAAATGCATTTAGGAGAAAATTTTAAAAAATATTTGTTATCTTACAGAGTAGCAGTTCTTACTACACCTAGAGCAGTTTTTTCAGTGTCTGAAAGCATTGTCACAACCTAGCAGGCTGCTGCTACAGGTACCTTGTGAGTAGGGGCCAGGAGTGCTGAATAACTACATTTTATGTGCATGAATTCATATACAATGTATAATTTTAATCATGATATACATGATAATATTATCATAATGACAATGTTAGGCTATAATATTGTCATTTAGTATGTAATTGGCATTTGTCATTCCATTAGGAAAACTTCCAAAATAGCTCTATGGCATTGAGTCTTACAGGTAGCTCATAGTTTACTTAGTAATTCTTCACTGCTTGTCACTTAGGTACTTTCTAGTCCTTTGGTCTCATGAAGAAACTCTGATGCATACCACTGTGCACAAATTGTTTTTAGGGTAAATTTAGAGCTGGGAACTTGCTGGGGCACTAGAGGCAGACCTGAGTTCAAACTGTAGCTCCTAACAGTAGCTGTGTGATACCGAGGAGGGAATTTTCATCTGCGAAGTGGGAATAAAAGTGCAGCTCTTATAACAGCAGCGTCTCCCAGGGCTGATGTGAGCATTACACGGAGTTACGTTCACCCAGTATTTCACTGCAGACTGGTCACACAGTAGACCCTCAATAGCTGGTGTTCTTAGTTCTGGACATACTCATGAATTAACAGTTTTTGCTGAAGTAGCTGTTGTTGGACTTAAAACATTTCACCGCTGATGAGGCCGCTGATGTGACTTTTAACCTAGGCCTTGAGCGTCTACTTTAAGGGTATTGTTGGCTGTAATGTTTATGGTTATTGTAAATTGTATCCTATTTCTACTGTGCTATTTTTTGTCATAATAGTTGATCAGTATTATAAACTTAGATCTCAGGGGCATTTTATATCATCACATTTTTCCCAGAAAATTAAATTGAGAGAATTGCTAGGATTTGTCTAGCGTTGGGTTAGCACATCATATTGCTCATGGTTTTCTGGTATTTTGATTTCTTTGGAATTTAATACATTCCTCAATTTGCAGTGATGGAGTTATTGTAGGGAACCGAATATTTCATCAAGGCCTAATTTTTCTCCAGGGAGTGGTTTGACTCTCGAGCTCCATTTGGCAGAACTTTCATTGCAAGTTAATAAGACTAAGTCCAAGCTATACTGCCGGGATAATGAGAAGTGTCGGCAAGTAATGACCCACATTTCTTCATTGATAGTAGATTTGCGGCTGCGCGGCTCGCTCATGACCCTTGCTGGGCACTCCTTCGCATAATGTGAAGCGTTTAAAGCAAAACTTTCTCATTTGTTAAACGCTCTTAATTTGTAACTTAAATTTAGGCTTTTAAATTCTAGCTTATTATGCCTTTCTTTTGGAAGTCCAATCTAATTTTCACAAGGATGGTTAGTTTTTAGTTTCAGGACAATTAAGTTCTTTTTTTTTTTTTTTTTTGTGGAACTGGGGATTGAACTCAGGCCCTTGCATTTGCTAGGGAAGCGCTTATTCTAATGAGCCATCTCCCCAGCCCCACAATGAAGTTCTTTAAAATATAGCATTATAAATATTTTATAGTAGAATATAAAGATATTTTAATAAGTGTACTATGAACTTATTTTTGAAATTTTAGGTTGAACTGTTAGTCAACATTAGTTTGAAATCATTAATAAAAGTCAGGGGACTCTGACAGGTTTTTTTCCATTAATATAAAAAGCTAGCAATGTAATTTATCTGGAAAGATTTTTAAGGATTTTTTTCTTTCTGTGACTATTTCTTTTTTGGCTTTGCTTCTGTTAGTTATTTCTCTTTAAGTTGGGAATGGATAAATAATGTAATATAAGATACAGAAAAGTAGAAATCTGTGAGCAGGAATCTAACCTTGACTTTAGAGATAATAATGATTTTAGAAAAGCTGCTTCATCCCATTTTTCATGTCTGTAAAGTGGATACAAGATTACATACCACATTCTATTGCATTATTGAATTCTCAAACCAAAGAGTGGATGAGCAGAGCTGTGTGCCAGGTATGCCAGGCATTCATAATTCATTATCCTGGGGTGGGTAAGACAGCTCAGTGGGCTAAAGTGCCTGCCTAGACAAACTTAGGCAAGTGCAGGGACTGCAGTTTGATCCCCGGCACCACGCGCCAAGCCAGCCCCACCCTCAGGCCTGGCTGAGCCAATCAGAGTCCAGGCGTGGTGGCTCATGCCTGTAATCCCAGTACTGGGGAGTCTGGGATTACACAAGTGAGACCCTGCAACAACCAAATACATTAAAAAAAATTACAATTCATTATCCTGTATATTGCTAATGTGAGGTGATATCTCACTGCGATTTTTAAAAATTTTTTCTCATTGTGACCTTCACTGGCATCTCTCTGATGATAGCCATGCAGCTGAATACTATTCAGTCTTAAAAAGCAAGTGAGTCAGTGGAGGAACCCAGAGGACCTTAAGTGAATGAAACCATAGCCCTGTTACAGACAGACAGATGCTGTATGGTCTCCTTTAAGTGTGGAACCTAAAAAGTTAAGCTCAGAGAAGTAGAGGGTAGCATGGTAGCCGTCAGAGGCCAGGCTCATGCAGGTGGGCAAGGGGCTAGATCTGTAGCTGGGCGGTGGGTATAAGTTTGCATTTAGGAGTATGTTTTGACGTTCTAATGCACAACACAGTTAACTAAAGCTAATAACATATTTAATTTCTTTCTTGCAGAACCGGGGATTGATTTCAGGCCCTTGCACTTGCTAGGCTAGTGCTTATTCTACTGAGCTTTCTCCTGGCCCTAATTTCTTTAAGTAGTTAAAAAGAAGGATTTCAAATGTCCTTACCACAGGAAAATGGTATCTGAGATGACAGATGTGCTAATTAGCCTGACTTGATCACTCCACAATGTATATACATTTATCAAAAATTATGCTCTAGGGCTGGGGAGATAGCTCAGAGGTCTAAACACCTGCCTGGGAAGCACAAGGACCCAGGTTCAATCCCTGGTGCCTCATGTAGTGCTGGTCCCAGAACCCAGGGCATACTGTGCCTGCCACCAAAACCAGGTGTGGTGGTGCACACCTGTAATCCCAGCCCTGGGGAGGCTGAGACAGAAGGATCGTTAGGAGTCCAAGCTGCATAGTGAGATGCTGTGCCATATAAATAAGTAGACAGATTTTAAAAATCACACTCTACCCTAAAAACATATATGCTTATTATTTGCCAATTAGAAAGAAAGCAAAACTTAAAATTCATTATTTTGCTCCTTAGCAGTAACTCTCTGAAGTGTGATGGTTACTTTCATTTTAAAGTTAAGGAAACAGATTAATCCTTTTCCTGCCAGTCCCACTATATTCTAGAAGCAGTACGTTGAAGAGGTTAAAAATTTCATCAGGGTTCCTTCCACAGTGGGTGGTTGGTGGTTGGCTTGACCCTTGGGCTGCTTCGTGTGTCTAGGGCTCTGTCTGCTCTAGGGAAGTCATCAGATGCCCACCCAGTGCCCATCCCGTCCTGCCAGCCACTGCGGAGCGATCGTTTCTCTGCGCCCTGTCTTCACCTCAGCTTCTTCCCTGCCCTCTGCTCTTGGCTTCTCTTTTCTACCATTTTTCTTTTGTTCTCTGCCTGGATTCCTGTGGGTCCCCAGGCAGAGTTAGTGGCACACAGACCCTCCATCAGCAGTCACAGGCCCAGCAGGAGACAGGGAGGTGCGGGCCACACCATGTTCCTGCTTCACAGAGGAACTCATCTCTTTATTGATGAATTATTTACTCAGTGTCTACTCTGTGCCAGGTTCTGCGCTACCTGTTGTCTTTCCTTCCTGTGAAATGTCTTCCTTATCTCATCACCACAGTGGTAGCCTTTACTTAGGTAATTTTGATTTAAGCCTTGAGCCAAAGCCCTAACTATGGGCCGAGGAACTAGCCTAGCGTGGAGCTGGAAAGGTACAGGCAGCTGTAGGTCCTGTGCCCTTAGTTCTCTTTATCTATCTGCTTTCTTTTTTTCTCCCTAAAGATTGAGTTTCTTTTCTTCTGTGTTATGGAAGAAAAATATGGGATTTCTGAATTCTGTGTTCCTTAATTTCAGTCACAGAGATCAACTAGCCAGCTTTCGATGAATTTGTAGTCAGGATTCTAGTCTTGATTGGAAAGTGTCTAATTAGCTCAACCCTTATACTGAAGAGTCTGGCCTCCTCCTGGATGCTTAACCACTGACTTGCTTTTAACTCTCGCCTTTCTTTTCCTTTGTATATGGGAGGCTGAATCAGTCATCTCCTGTGGTGCCCATGGGAATTTAAACCTTCTCACTGGCATGGGCTTTGCCCAGTTCAACTCCCCATCCTCTGTAAGGGCCCGGTCCACTTTCTCTGCTTTGTCTAAGCCAGTTCAGACAAGTTTGTGTCCTCCCTTGCTCCCTGGGAGTCTCTTGTGTAAATAGTGACTTTCTCTGAAATCCTCCTGGTGTGTGGAATGTCGTCAGCCTTGACCTTAGCACCAAACCTTGAGTGGCGGCCCATCTTGCTTTGCGAAAGGGCTGTGGAATACTCACTTGGAGACCAGAGCTCACCCTGGCCCAATCAGCCAAGTTATAGTATAGGACAATTGCTGAGTGTTATCCTCTGAGGGGAGTGGAACAATTTAAGGAAAGGAAGATTTGTAAATTTATTGACCACTATATTTGTTGGGTGCTACTCTGTGCCAGGCACTGTTTGAGGTCAGTGATTCTAAAACTTGTGTGTGCAGCAGAATAATTTGAAGTGCTGTTGAAACAAGGCAATGAGAATTTTGTGTATCTAATGAGCTCCTAGACGGTGCTCATGGCCCAGCGATCGTACTTCAGGGGATACTGTTCTCAACGAAGTGAGCAAATATGGTAAGAGATAGGAAATGGACAATAAAAGCAGTCAGTAGTAAAGCCTCGTATGCCAAAAAGAATCCTTTAGCAAAAGTAGAGCATGGAAGCGGGAGTGGGAAGTGTGAGGTGGATGCAGGGCAGATAGATTGTCGTACTACACAGGACAATCAAGAAGGGTGAGATTGGAGCCGAGACAGGAAGGAGCCGAGGGAGCAGCTCTCTAGGGGAAGAGGGTCTGCAGAAGGCCTGGTTAGAACAAAGGCCCTGTGGCGTTGAGAAGTGTTTCCTCTACATCTGGTAAATGGTAGGGAGACCCATCTGGCCAGCCAGAGGGACCTTGGAGAAGGGGAGGCTGAGTCAGAGAGCACAAGATAAGTGGCTCATGCTGGTTGGCAGTGGAGCAGGCAAAGTTTCCAGGTGATTAGGAGGACTTTGGCTTGTGCCTTGATCTTCAGCAGCGCTGTGACATCATGTAAATGCTGCTTGGAAGGATTTGCGCGGCTGCTGGGTTGGAAGTGGACTGTAAGGGGGAAGGAGGAAGCGTGGTTTCTTGCTTCTATCTCATGAGAAGGTGGTTGAGGTGATGAGGAGGGGCCAGATCGTGGGTAGGTTTGGAAGAAAGCTGATGAGAGTTCCTGGTAGAGATAACAACGTTAGAATTAAATAGTCCAAGTGAATATTTCATACTATTTAATAACAAAGTGAGTCAAAGGTATTTACTGAGTGTGCAGAAGGAGAGCATTGACATGGACTGAACTGCAGAAGGCGGTGGGCGGCGTAGAGCTGGCGGAAGGCGTGGCCAGAATTCACTTTGGAGCAGGCCGGGTGGGACAATGTGCAAAATCTGGGGATCTGGCATGTGAGAGGGAAGTCTAGGAAGGCTTGAGAATAGTTACATGACAAAACTACGGGCCTGGGTGGTATCACCAAGGAAGTGAGTGTAGGCAGAGAGGAGGAAATAGCAAGAGCAACCGAGAAAGAGTGTGGGCGTTGGAGGAAAAAGAGAGTTCTGGAAGCCAAGTGAAAGTTCCTTATGGAGGAGAAAGAGGAGGAATCTCTTGAACTTAATTATTTCTTTAGTCCTTTATGCTTCTTTCTCATTTTAATTTCACTCCCTCTTAAAATTTATTTTGTACAACACTACCAGGTTAGCCACCTGTGACCAGCCGATGTCCTGACACTCCTCTGTAGAAACTCACAAGGCCCCTGGAGTTCATAAACCTTGGTGTTTATGTGGCATCTTCTTGTTTTGCAACAAATAACAGTCTTAGAAGGATGTACAGTATTTTAAGATGGAGAAAAGTCAATTCAAGATTCATCAGTCCTCTCACACATCATTTGTTATTTTCCACAGTAAATCATAGAATTACATGGTGTGATAACTTTGTCCAACGCTTGTTTGACAGATGCAATCCAGAGAAATCCACTGTGTACCGGTCTAAACCTTGGCTGTAGCATTTTTACTATATATGAAATTTGCATGAGATAGCACTTCCTCAGGTTGGGTATAAAAGCTCAGCTTCTCAGTGGCCTCGTTTCCTCCTCCATAATGCAGGGAGAGCAGGAGAGCTCCTGTCCTAGAGTGTACGAGGAGTCACTCTGACAGTGCACACAGTGTGCTGAGTCCAGGACTTGGCATGCCAGCGTGTTCCACCTGGCTTGCATGCCTCTTGGACAGAAGTCATGGCCCATTCTAAGCTCTCCATCATGTGCCCGTTTTTCTTCATGCTTGGGCCCATTTCTCCACTCTCTCTTCTCAGATTCAATCTGCACTCTATCATTCTGCTCTGTGTCCCCCTTAAAGGCTTCCTTCTCCACAATGATTATGTGATTTTTTTAAAATAGCTTTTTCTGAGGTTTCATGTGGCTGATTCCTTTATCTTGATTCCAGCCAGTTACATGGAGTCTGAAACTATTTTGAGGGAGTTTCTTCTTTGAGGGAGCTATGCCTCCAGCGCTTAGCACAGAGTAGAAGCTTTTAAAGTTTACTGAGGAGCAGCTCAGCTGGTGGGTTGATTATGAATAGCTATTTGGTAGATTAGAAAATTTCTGACCTTTAGGTGGAAAATATTTGGGTAACATGTCCTTTACCTGCTTAATTGAGTTAATTCATTTGTACACCATCCCTTACCTGTTTCCACAAAGGATGTGAGGTAGCATATAACTCTCTTGGTGAGATTTTTATACTGTTATATATGTATTTACATAGAATTATCTTTAGAACTATATTTAAATAAATAATTTCTACCAAAAGAAATAGGTAAGATGATGACTTTTTTTTTGTCTCCCAAGCTTCTAATTGTCATCAGCAGAATGATTTGTTTTGCCTGACATTGAATTTGTTAATCTTGAAAGATACTATGACTTCTAAGCAGGCGTTTCTGCTTTATTCTTTACTCCTTTCAGTGGTGAACTCTTTGTTGCACAAAAGCTCTGAAACTGTCAGTCAAAACAGAAAAAGAATGAAGCATTTCTCACATATTGAGTGTGGGAAATCTGATTGTTTCTCTTGGAACAGATTGTTCATTATAACAGTATCTATAATAAATGGAGTGCGCTGCTGAGATAGATGAAAATGAAATTAATTTGGCTCAGATGTGATCTTTGTTTTGCTTATGAGGATTTGAAACATCCTTACAGAGTTTCAGATTTCCATGCAATTTAGAAATAAAAGAGATTTCGAAATGCGTCTGTCTCCCTTGCCAGTGGCTGTCATTCCCTCACCGCAGCTCTGCCGCACAGTGAAGCAAGTGTGAGTAAGTGTGTAGGACACTTGTGTGTGCTGAGCCCTGTCGGGGTGCTTGCCTGAAGTGTGCATTGCCTAGATACCGATATCACACGAGAGCACCTTGTGTTTTGTTACAGGTTGCCTATCAGATCGGCCACTATGAGCTGGCTAAGAAAGTTTTCTCACCTGTTTGGGATTATTTTGTTGCTTCTCCATCTCAGGATGAGCAGTCCTGTGTTTCTCTAGACAATATGATGATGATTACACAGAGAAGGTAATTAGCCATATTATTTTAAGGTATTAATTAATATACATGACTAAAAATATAGATGGTGGGTCTGTGAAGATGAGCATGTATTTTCAGTTTCATAATAAGGGAGCTGGAGCTGGAGTTCGGCAGCACAGTGCCTGCCTGGTATGTTTGAGTCCTTGAGTTTGATGCTGGGTACCAGAAAAAAGAAGCTTATGAAAAACTTCACGATAAGGTAGCTCTTGTAAAGCTGCTTCTATTAGAGTTGTAACAGGAGTGCAGACATTCTGATGTATTGAGTCCTTGCTAGGGTCACAGGAAACAGTGAAGGCATGTGCGTGAAGGTTGTGGACCAAGAATATGAAATAGTAACCGAAGTTATGATGCCAGAAAACCCAGATATCTGTGGAGACTTTCATAACACAGCAAAGTCGGGTGGGGTGAAGGCCAGGCAGCATCCAGCGGTGGATGTTATAGTACAAAGGCTTTTCTTTTGCTTTGGAGATTCCCAGGCTTAAACTAGCAGCAGCTACAAATGGGCTGGTGAAAGCTGTAGGAAAGTGCAGGCTGTATTTTGACCTTACTGCTGTTTTTTCTCAAAGGAACAAAGTTTAAGAGCAATGCCCAAAATGACCTTAGTATAATTTCAGGTTGGTTCAACACAAAGTTTGAAATCTTCCGTGTTTGGAAGAATCCTTGTTTGTTAATACCTGAAATTTCTTTAGTAAGAGAAACCCTTCACTTCTTAAAGATAATGAGCTGAAAGTTGCAAATTCTGGTTGAAGCAAGGTATTGATAATGCATATTGGCATTATAAGTATCATTGTATTTTGATTAAACAAATGCAGAGTTTACCACACTGGAGGATGCTGGGTGCTGGGGGAAGGACCTGAGAGGCGTAGGATTTGGATTCTGTATGCCTGGTAGGTTAAGGGAGAAAGGTGTGAAAAGTGACTGAGATTCCTACTGTTGAGGGACTGGGAAGCCTGTGATTGCTACGGAAACAAGAGAGATGGCACATGAATGTGGAGGAAGATGATGAGTGTGACTATGAATATATTTTGACTTTGGATGCCTTTGTGGAAATGAGATCCCAATAGGTACATTTAGGTAGTGCTGATATTCAGGAGGAAGTGTAGGGTAGAGGCAGGGATTTGGAAATGATCTGTGGAGGCCATCATTAAAATCTTGAAAAGGAGCACTGTCCCTCAGGGAATGCCTTTTAGCAGAAAAGATCAAAGGCCAGAACAAACCCAGAGCTTTGCTTATATTTAAGGAGCAGAAACAAGACAGGGAATCAAGGAAGGGTATCAAAAATGGGCTGCCTAAGAAATAAAAAAAATCCAGGAAAATGCATTGCCAAGGGAAGTTAAGAGTATCTTCAGGAGGACTGGCCAGGCAAATCAGATTCTAGTGCAAGGTCAAAATGCAACAGAAAAAGTCGAGAAGGACAAAAACTAAAAAGAAGCATTTAGAGTTAGCAATCAGGAGGCCACTGGTAAATTCAAGGGAGCCCTTTCATGGTGGGGGGGCCAGAAATCACTTTGCACTTGGCTAAGGAATAAATGGAAATGGAGGATCAGAACAAGCAAAGACAAGTCTTGTGAAGCAGCTAGGGTGGGGGTTTAACAACATTTTCTAGATGTAGAAATAAATATGTCATTTATATCTGTTGGCCTGAGAAGCCAACGTTTTTAGATTCATAGATATGAATAGATATATTGTTCATAGATATGTTATTCATATAGATATGTTATTCAAAAACACTAATGATTCAGCTGATATAATATGGCTGTGCAGGGAAGCTGAGGACTTTAATGTCTAAGGACTCTGCTTCAGCTTTATGTTCTAGGGCCTAGAATGCTGACTTGCACACAGTAGGCATTCACAAAATGCTAATTTGAATGAATACATGGATAAGTAATGAGTGATTATTGTGTCAGGGATGGAACATTAGACAGTGGTTGCTCTGCAAGGTCAGGCAAATTGATTATTGCAAGAAATAAGTAGGAAACAACTTCAAATGCTAGAAAGGTTACTTTTGGAAAGACTGATCAGGGTAGGGAAGGAAATGGAGCCAGGAAGTAGTAGAATGGGCTAAGTGCATGGCTGAAGGTGCTGAAGGTCACCGGGAAGGTCAAGATACCTGAAATTTTAGTGTGAGATGTACAGATGGAGAGCTTAACATTACCCCAGCAACGAGCAGTTCAAAGTTGAATGTGGTGGTCATCTGCATGCATGAATTTCTGCATTGAATCTTCACCTGCTTTGTGGGGATTGAGAGAAGACAAGAGAGCCGGGGCTGATGCCTCAGAGTGTGGTTGGTTTCCCACTAAGGCCCTGGAAGGAATATTGCAAACAGAAAGAAGAGTGCAGATTTCCTGCCTTTGCCAGTGGTTGGCACTATTGACAGCAATTTAGAAAAGATAATTAAAAATAATCCAAGAGTTATTAAGTCTTTGTTTCTTTAATCATAGCTGAGTTTGTTGTAAATGCCCCTTATTTTAAGGAAGTTCATTAATTGAAATGTTGGTCCTGTTTTTTAATCCTACAATGATTTTGTTGCATTGATAGAAAATAGCTGTGCATATAAGAATCAGAAATTTGTCACAATAGTTTGTGTGTGTGTATGTGTGTGTGTGCTTGTGATGGACTATTACAGCATCTTTCTTAATTGTGGTCTTATTACAGAGAATCTTAAATTTTAATTTAAACAGCAGTATAAGAATAGTTATTCCATACATTTTGTTGCTGTCGTAGATACTGAGCAATGAATCTACAAAGCCGGGCTCACAGGCCAAGTAAGTCTTCCATTTCTACCCATAATATCGTGTACTTCTTTTGCAGGTTACATCCAGGTATCTTGGCAGAGACTTCTTCTATCCTCTTATACCTTTTTCTTAGGAATATCTTTGTAACAAGTGACATTAAAATTAAAGAAGAAAATCTTTTCTGTGATAACATTAAGGGCAATGAAATTTTCCCTGCTCAACAAGTAAGTGAATTAAAGTGACTAAGAAAACATGTCACTCTCACTGTATTTGCTTCCTGTGGTTTTGAGTTCATGTTCTTTTGGGATTGTGTGTCCTGTCTTGTGAAGGGACTGAGAGGCCATAGTATGAATGCATTGCATTATTTTGATATCCTCTGTAGGCTTCTGAGGCCTGAGTTCATCTTTTCTTTTCCTTTCATTTATCCTTTTCCTTGTGTATGAGAATAGTACATATTTCACAATTCAAAACCATGTAATGAATAAAGTGAAATGCGTTGTAATTCTAGCACCTCTGAGGACACTATGGTTTCATTTCACATGATTTCTCTAATTTTTGAAAGTTTTCACCTTGATCTGCTTGCTATTCTGCCTGTTGCCTTTTTAATATCTTTGTTTGGAGACAGGGTTGTGCTGTATAGTTCAGGCTGACCTTGAACCTATGAACCTCCTGCCGCAAGAGTGCTCTGTCATGCCTGCCAGCAGCACATCTATATCTTAGACTTATTTTCAGTGCTCTTTATAGGTCAGTCTGCCATGTACTTTTAATTAAAGCATTGATTTCCTGTGCAGGAGCAGGAATTTAAATATTTCCTATTGATAGCTTCTCATGGTGACTGCAAACATCACTCTGTGTACATCTGCAACCCTATAATACTCTTAATAATAATCCTACATTTGGTTTTCATTCTCTCTCTCCATTCTTTCCCTTTCCTTGTTTACTTAGCATAGACATGGAAGCTTTAACTTTTTTTTTTTTTGCAGTTGTTTCTTTCCCTGTTTCTCAATTAATCAATTAGTTGTTGCATGACACAAGGTAAGCTTCTGGGATATGAAGGTGGACATAAATGACCTTTTGCATAACACAAGTTCACTGTCCTATTACCCCCAAATGCTCAACAACTATCAAACTGCTCCTCTAGTCACCAGACTGGGTAAGAGGAGGTCCCTCAACTAAGTCATGGGTATCTCAACTTGACCTCCAAGTACGTTCTTGATTTTCACCACAGAAAAAGCATTTCCATGACTCACCAGTGGGAGGTATAGGCAGGTTTATTAGGTGGAGTTAGAAAAGAAGGGAGAATATGGTGGAGAGGATCAGAATGGCCCACGCACAACAGCATGAGGTAGCTTTTCTGGATTTGCTGAGGCAGGTCAGATCCAGTTGATCGTTATCTGCCTGGGTGTTTCATAGCTCTGGAGGAATCCTTGTGGCTTGCAGGCAGTTTGGTTCCCATGGGATGACTGCTTGTGTTTATGAAGGGCGAGCACAGCATGGGGTGGACTGTGAGGCTGTGCTTTTCTGGAATCTGAGCTAATTGTAGGTGTTGCTCCAGGGAGGCCTGCACTAGACATGGTTAAAACTGGAAATTCTGCAAGTCACCTTAGTTACTCTTATTTTGGTGTCCTCAGTCTTCAAAGGGAATGAAATAGACTAGGCAAATTTAGAGCCAATAAACCTTGTGAACTAGATGCTCCCTGAGTGATTAGCATGCCCCTGTGCAAAGCTGAGCTGGGATCTGATCCAAAGTTTTATGGCAATAAGGTAAATTTTTTAATTTCCTGCTTTTTTAAAAAAAAACCCCTATAATTGGGCTGGGGAGATAGCATGGTGGTCTAAGCTCTTGCCTGGCAAAGGAGCTGCGTTAAATCCTCAGTACTGCATATCATGTTGGCCACCAAAAGTGGGTGTGGTAGTGCACACCTGGAATTCCAGCACTGGGGAGTTCAAGCTGTGTAGTGAGACACTGTACCAAATAAACAAATAAATACAAGATTAAAAATATTTAAAAATTTAAATTACTTACATGTGACATTATTGTAGAGTTGTCTGTGACTTTAGGTTTTCTTCATGCCAACATTCAAGGTGTTGATAAGCCACAAAGCTCTCATTTCCTACCCTCTCTTCTCCTTAGACATTTACTAACTTAAGCATCTGATGTTAGGCTTAAGTAACCAAGCCTGCTTCTTTCCAGATTGCTAGGCTGATGGAATGTGAGAGGGTTTTAGTGGCCCTGGAACTTAGCAACTTCCTGAATGATTCCAGTTATGCCCTACAAGCTGTGACTCAGTGCTATGGACTTCTTGCTCCTATAATATATCACAATATTCCTTTGGTACCTGTTGTTCAGGTAAGGTTATCCTTCACCCCCAAATTGGGTCTTTTTTTTAAAAAAAACCCAAGGCAATTCAATAATTCATTTTAGAAAAGGAAAACTGTATATCTCTTGTAAAGAACAAAGTAGGTCAAGAGTAAGTATTAGGAAATTTCCCAAGTTAACTGGAGAACATTTTAATACATTTTATGTCTTGGAAAACATAAATAGGAATAAAAGATGTGTTTCTCTGAGAACATTCAGCCTTGTTGCTGTTTATGGTTAAATATTGTTAAAGCATATCATTAAAGCCATCATCAGGGGAAAATAGAGATAATGAGAATAATCTAACATAACATACGGGATAATGGAAGAAGTGGGATTTGTGGAAAATGGGTTGATTTGGCTAAAGGAATTCTATTATATAGCAGTGCCTGGGTTCACAAACTGAATTCATTCCATGTTTCTAGTTGTGAGTCAAATCAAGTTTCCCAGTAAGGTTCAGTGGTAGCCAGAGTGGAGTTCATGAACCACAGCAAAATTTTGCCAAATGCTTCTGTTTGTGAACCGAAGCACTTGTGAACCAGTGCGTTACTGTGTGTGCATTTAAAGAAATCACTGTAAACTTAGAGGTTTAAAAGAATAAACAGTTATTATTGGGTAATTTCTATGAATCAGGAGACTAGATGCAGTTTAGTGGGTCTTCCGTTTTATATCTGACCAAACTAAGTAAGGGTGTTGGTGAGGGTTGTGATTTTATGCAAGTCTTATCTAAGATCTTTTCCCAAGATCCCTGGCTGAGTTGGTTTTCCCATTCAATGGGAGATGGACATTTTTAATAAATAGTGGCCCAACACCTAGGTAGTCACATGAAAAAAGATGCAGTTTGACCTCGGTTTGTACTATATTTATAGGTAAAATAAAGCAGAAACATTTAGAAAAAACAAAATCTCAGGAGGTGACTTATGCAGTGCAGGGTTTGAAATGAGACCGAACTTTTAAAACAGAAATGCTATGTGTGACACAAGGGACCTTAACAGAGATTATAGAGAACTTACAGATTTGGAAAAAGAATCCAAAATTGATGAAGGATAAAGAATCTTGCACATGGATCTAACCTGATAGAAATAACCTAATAGAAAAGTGGGATAGGATATGAATAAATAGGTCATAGGAGAGTAAATCTGAGAAGCAGAGAAGCATGTGAAAAGATGCTCAAGTTGAATGTTCATAGAAATGCACATTGAACTAACGATACAGTAAGATCTGAAAATCTCATTGCTGGTGAAAATGGACAACAAAGACATTTTCATTTATGACAGGTGAAATGTGAATCATTATAAACTTTTGGCCTTCAGATTTTTTTCGTTTTGTATTTTAGGGAAGGGTCTACAGGGTGTTCAGGGTCTTACTACTAGATTGGACTCGTAGTGATCTGCCTGTTTACAGCCTTCCAACAGCTGGGATTACAGGCGAGCACACCATCACGCCCAGTCTCAGTTGCCATCTCAGCATACCTCGGGGCAGGGGCAGGGCTGGCACGGCAGGTTCGGTGATGGAACCCCCGGCCCCCGTGCCTGCCTGCGGCCCCTGTGCCTGCCTGCGGCCCCTGTGCCTACTAGTAGGTGCTTTAATCTGCTGAGTTATTTGGCCGGCCCTGAACTTTCAGAGTTTGATTGAGCAACTTTAATTATTATTATTATTTTATTTTTTATTTTATTATTATTATTTTATTTTTTGAGACAGGGTCTTACTCGGCAGTTCAGGCTGGCCTTGAGCTCACTTTGTATCCCAGGTTGGTGTTGAATTTGATGCAGTCCTCCTGCTTCAGCCTCCCGAATGCTGTGATTACAGGCATGTGCCACCACACCTGGCTGAGCAACTTTAATTTTAATTAAAGTAAATCTAATTTTAAACAAAATTAAGAACAAATATACCTGACACAGTAGTTCCTTTACTTGTGATTTATCTTATAGAACAAAATTTTAATAAAATTAAACATGTTTATCTAACAGAGCAATCCCACTGTATTATTTATCCCATAAATTAAAGTCACTAGTTGGTAAAATGTGATTGCTTATTGCACTGTTGGTGCCCTGCATCCGGGTGTTCTGTTTAGTGGGGACACCATGCCACATAATAGCATTGATTGAAGGGGACACTGTATCTGGAAGATTGTGCTTGTCTCTCAGAGCTGGGTCTTCAGTCTCCACTCGTAGTGGTCACCTGAGTATGTATAAAGGGTTTGTGGTGGCAAAAAAGCTGGAGATGCAAAGGAGCAGCAGCACCAGACTGCAGGGCCTCAGCCACTACAGTGCCACTCGTGCGTCTGGGGCTGCATAACCTGGGGTTGACCTGTGCCAAGTGGTAATATGCAGCTCTGCACAGCAATAAGGTAGAGCTGTTTCTGTAGATTGGAGAAACATTCCCAAAGACAGGCTTGAAGTTGAATGGCAGCATTCAGAGAAGTGTGTATAAATTCCACTTTGCAAAATAAGAACAACCTTCCTCCCGTGTGTGTGTGTGTGTGTGTGTGTGCGCACACGCGCGCATGTGTATGTGATTATAGGAACTTTGCGAAAACTAGCGGGAAGGTGTCCACATGATTTGGGGATGTGGTGGTACAGTTTCAGGCATGGAGGGGACAGATGGAAAAGCATAGTCACAGTGGCCACCAGCATCCTGAAACAGTAACACTATGGCCTGAATTGTAGCTTGAAGCCATAAACAAGCCTCAAAAGAATTGACATCTGTGCACTAGTATGTGCCTTTGGGTAATCTGAGTGATGAAGGGATTGCGGCAATCTTAGCACTGTTTTCCTGATAGTAATACAGAAGTGTGCAGCGGTATTGGAGTTAAATTTAATCATCTGGCTCTTGATCAAACTCAAGACTGTAAAGTAGAAAGCAAAGAGAATCAGAAGTAAACACCAATATTAACTGATTTTCAGGGATATGGATGTTTGGTTTAATTTTAAACAAAAATATTCCTTCAAGGACCTGGAATCACTATGGTATTTACTATGCCACGTAATCCTCTGTATGGTTCTGGAAGATTCTCCCATGCCTGAGTGTGATGTTCAGCTTCTTGTATGCTTGCAGTATTTAGCATATGTCATTTTTACCCCTGTCAAAACGTGCTTAGTTTAATGATTATTCCTAAACTCATACTATGGTTTTCACTAGTCTTTAAGTTACTTAAGGTGAATGGCTCATCTGAAAATTGAATATATCAATGTTATATACATTCTTTTATATATACTAAACAATTTATAAGTAATTATTGATAAGATTTTATGGCATAAGACTAACATGGTTTTTTTATTTTTTTGAGACAAGATCTCACTTTTTAGCTCTGGCTGGCCTTGAGTCCACTGTGTAGCCCAGGCTGGCCTTGAACTTGCAGTGATTGTCCTGCCTCAGCTTCCCAAGTGCTGAGATCATAGGCCTGTGCCATCACGCCCAGCTAGGGGACTCACATTACTTGAATATAAAATTTAAAATGAGTAAGGGTGATATTTTATCATGAAAATCATTGTGCTTCTGTATTTTAGATCTTGATAAAGTGTGTAGTGGTTTTGCAAGGACTGCCAAATATTGTCCACTTGAAAAAAAACATTTCGAGTTTTGAAAGTGTGCAGCACATGATAGCTTGTTGTATCTTCTATTTAACAAAGGTATTTCTCTCATTTTCTTTTGTCTAATGTCATAAAATGTAGGAGCAGTAATGATTTAGAAGTCAAACTGTTTCTAATCACAGTAATTAGAATGCTTAAAAATAGCATCACAAAGTGTTTTTATATCAAAAGCAAATGTAAAATCTAAATGTTACGGAAGAGTTGTCTGTATTGAACTTTGATGAAATTGTGCTTCCAAGATGAAAACTTTAAGCTTCTAAAATGGGGTTCATAAATTTTCTAGGCATTTTACAGTCCCACAGAACATATGTTTTTGAAACCCTGAAGCAGTAATCACATAGTTGTTATACTGCTAGGCTGTGAGCTCAGGAGCCAGCAGGCCAACATGAAGTTCCTCCCTCAGAAGTGGAGTTAGGGGGCGCAGGCCTAGAAGGTACCAGAGACCAAGCCATGCGATGAAGATGAAAGGCTCAGTCAGTAAACAAGGACATGACGTGATCATCTTGTGGATCAGGATGTAGGAAATGATGTTAGGTCCAAGGCACCGGCAGACTGTGCAGACTGTGAGCACAGTTCTGAGTCAGTGTGCAGACTCTGAACTCAGTGGAGGCCAAACTATAGAGGCGAATCTAGACTCCACCGATTAAGAATGATTTGTCCAGAGATCTGAGCCAGAAAGAACACATGGGTGTACATGACCAGAATATAAGCTTGTTTTTCATTTTAATTTCATTCCTTTATTCCATTCATTCACTGATTGCCTATTTGTGTCAGATACTGTTTCGGACATTTGCCATGTGCTTAGAATTTGAATTTGAATTAGAATAAGATATAGACAGAACCTCATAGTTGTTGTAGGAATTGAATGGATGACATGATGTCTAGCTTGGATAGTGAGTGGTTGGTGGTGACACAAACTTGGATGCAGAAAGATCACCAAGGGTTGGGACAGCCAGAGAAGGCATCGCCTAGAAGACGCAACTTCAAATTCTGCTAAGCAAGAGTTACAAACTCACATGCATTGAAATTCATGAAAACAAAACAAAAACAAGCCAATGCTTATGGTTTAGTGGGAAATACAGAAAATGAATGCGCACATAAATCCCTGAAGCTTTACGTGTCATAAGCAAAGGAGAAAGCAGTACAAAGAGAGAGGTTTCTGGGCTGGGCCAACTTTAGATGAGAAGCCCCTGCATAGGAGGAAGAGTTAAGTAAGTAGATGGAAGAAGACCAGCTGTGTAGGTGAAGGGTGTGAGGAATCATGCAAGCAGGTGCCTTGGAGACTCAGCGAGTTTCGATGGGCTCCAGCATTCATGTGGAACAGCTGAGTCAACACAGTCCCATATATGTGATTTTGCTTATTTTACAAATATACACAAAAACAATTGAAACAGCGAAGTTCATTTTAGCCTTTAGTTAATGAAAAGAATTAGTAGGGAAATGTCATAGCTCAGATGTTTGTGGGAAGGCTGTTTGTTTTAAGGTAGAGAAGGAGGGTTCTTAGTAGATGGTAGTTTAAGTACACATCCTTGGCATTTTTTTTTTTTTTTTAATTTCAGTTTCAAAGTATTGAAATAGCTTGAGCAGGCCCATTGGCAAGGTCTGGAGGGGTGTGTTAGGCCAGGCTAGCTGGGGCAAAGGCATCTTAGGGGAACTCACTTACCTTGGAAACTAGAAAGAATGGAGGAGGGACGGAGGCAGAGAGGTGGGCTTATTTATCCTCATTATTTGGCTTAAAAACCACACAACATGGTTCATCAAAGGTGAGTAACAGAGTAGAGTGAATCTCCTCAAAGAGAAGACACCCATATCTGTCCTCCTGTTTCATGTGGTTCTCACAGGGCCTTTCTGATCTGTGCTGAGGTTCAGAAGAGTGCTGTGTAGGTGAGCTGATGGGTCTGTAACTTCAGTTGGGAAATCAGAAGGCCTCTGTGAGTGTACCCTCAGGCCAGCTAACACTTTCTACCTCAGGAAGGGAGCCATTGTTTTCTGGCAGTTCCTGGTGTCTGCTGGCCCTTGGTTTACCACAGGTAGAGAGACCTTGGTGACCACCACATCTGTGCTGATGTGAAGGAATGTAAACCGTTAGCAGGGAAACTCAGTCCCCTTAGGGCAAGGGCGCAAGCAGAACACAACCTGATTGTGTTATTTTTCTCTGGCTATGTTGGCAGATATCAGAGATAACCAGGGTTAAAAAAAAAAAAGGCAAAGAAGACTTTTATGGACATGCACAGGGGATACAAACACCAGTCAAAGAAAATACTGTCTGTAGCTGAACAGATTTGATTTTTCATTGAAAAAATGAAACAGCTGGAAATTATGGTTATAGTGTTTCTTGAGTCAAATCTTGGAGCTCAAGAAACACCACACGGTTCAGAGCAGTTACCTAGAGATGCCCACTAAATTCAGAAGGCAGAGCCACGAGTCGGAACATAAAAATAATGAGAGTCTGAGACTGAAAAGAAAAACAAATGGAGAAGAAATGAGCTCTTTGGGGCCCAAACAGTTTTAATTTAAAAAGACACCTGGGGGCCTGTCAGATAGCTCAGTTGTTTAAAGCGCAGCTTGGGCAAATGCAGTCAGGCACAGGGGACTGCAGTTCAATCCCCAGGTCCACGAGCTGCACCAGATGCGCCCTTAAGGCAGCCTCAACTAGCCAAAAAACAATACAGCCAGTCGTGCTTAAAGGGCATTCGAAAAAAAAAAAAAAAAAAAAAAAAAAAATTCTTCTTCCATTAAAAGACACCTGTAGAGAGATGGCGACATTCCTGAAGTCAAAGGATAAGGGGAAATCTTAAAGTTTTGAGACTCAAGGAGCAGGTTGTTTGCAACAGAAAATTAATCAATTAGCTTTAAACTTTTTATCTGCAACCGTACCAGTTAAAACACTGTGATGCCTGAGGGGCTCCAAAAGCGCTGGGAAAGATACTCATTTGTGTGGGCAAAATAACAGCTTTTAGAAGCACAGGCATTTGGAAAATATTCTGCCCTCATACTTATCTGAGGAACACTTGAGGAAACACGCCACCGAAGGACAGTTGATTCAGAGCAGAAATCCCAAGGCAGGGCCAGACAAAAGGGAGCTGGAGAAAGGGAGCAGTGAGTCTTGCAATGTAGGTTATTAAAATTAAGTAGATAATAATGACACGACTAGGACTTTGTAAAGAAACGCTAAGTAGGGATTCCTGAAAGAGAATCATCCTTGAAAGAAAACTTATTAGGAACCCAGAACTAAAACTTACATTCTGCTTGCAGTGGGGGGAGACAGATGCAGGTAGATTCTTGGAGCATGGGGTGTGTGTGTGTGTGTGTGTGTGTGCGCGCGCGCACACGCAAGCACAAATATAGCAGTGCAGGTAGTTCTTTAAAAAAGCAAGATTTATATGCTCTTAAGAGAAACTAGAGTATTGTAGTTTAAAATTATTATTTTCTCTGAAAAAATAAAGGATAACTTGGGTATATGCAGCCATGAGCAGAACTTTGGAGCAGAACTTGTAAATTGACAGGGAGAAGAAATAAATAGGGGGAAGGAGGAAGAGGAAGCAGGAGCAGGAAAGGGAGAGGGTGACAAATGATCGATTTAGCAAAATGAAAAGTAAGAAAACAAAATAGTATTTGATTTTTTTTTTTTTTTTTTTTTTTTGGTGGTACCAGGGATCAAACTCAGGACCTTGTTCTTGCCAGGCAAGCACTTATTCCACTGAGCTATCTCCCCAGCCCCAAAAGATAGTATTTGAGATGGAAGCAATAAAATGAACAGAGAACACCGGATGGGTTTAGATTACTTTGAGAAATGCACTAAAAATGAAGTGATAAAGCGATTGAAAATTAATGAGTAGAGAAATAAGCAAGTGCAAACAAAATGAAGGGAGAAAGGTGTTATTTTCCATATTAGAAGAAGCAGAGTTCAAGGCTCGAAATATTAGTCAGGAGAAAGAGAGGCATCAGGTCGCGTTCTCCAGGGCTGTCATCACTGCTCTCTGCTCTTGGGTGGCAGCTGGTCACTTTCCAGGTGAAGAACATGCTCAGTGTCGAGCATTAAAGACCAAGTCTGGCCCAGAATTGATCCCTAGAGCTACAAAGAGAGAGAAAAGAAATAAAGTCTGAACTGAAACAAAATTCGATTTTTTTTACTACAGCAATTTAAAGGACAAGAATAATAAGATTTTATGAAAATGCCACAAAGGCATTAGATAATACTTATCAACCTTTCCTAATAAAATTTCTAATAAGTTAGGAAGGGAGCCGTTGAATAATAATGGAGATATTTACCCAAATTTTATTGCAAATATCATACTAAATGGCAAATTTCTGAAGCTATTTCCTTCAAAATCAGGCATGAGAAACATGCTGACTCATAACAGTGAAGTTCTGTTTCCAGAGGTTCTCTTTTCTGTAATAGATAAGGATAAGAAATAACTTTATAATGTAGAAATAAAAAGTATAATTTATTTGTAATTGTAGGGGTTCACAGAACTCCACAAGAATTGTTAAAAGTTATTAGCATTATAAAGAGAATATACAAAATAATTGTGTATGAGATACTTAGAAAGTGAGTTTTTAAAATACTGGCAAGGGGAGATAGCTCAGTAGAATAAGCACTTGCCTGGCAAGCGCAAGGGCCTGAGTTCAGTCCCCAATTCCACAAAAACAAACAAAAAACTAGCAATAAAAAGCTGGAAGTGGTGGGGCACGCCTGAAATTCCAGCACTCAGGAGGCTGAGGCCGGAGGATTGTCGTGAGTTCAAGACCAGCTTGGGCTACCAAGTGAGCTCAAGACTGGCCTGAACTGCTTAGTGAGACCCTATCTCAAAAAGGCAAAACAAAACAAGACACTAGCAATAGTCAGTTAGAAATAGAGTGGGTTAAATATATCAAGTATAGCATACAGTATTTAAAACTTAGCATCAAAGAACTAAATGAAAGAACTGTGAAATCTTATTCAAGGACATAAAATAAAATCTGAACATACCAAGTTCCTGACCATAAAGATTTATGGTCATAGACATACAACTGCTTTTTTTTTTCTTTTAAATTTATTGGTGCAGGGTCTCACTATGCAGCTCAGACTTGTGGTGATCCTCCTGTTTTCAGCCTCCTCTGTGCTGGGATTATAGGTGTGTACCACCACACCTGGTCTCAGTGACCAGCTCAGCACGCCTGGGGGCTGGGCTGGCACAGCATGTGGTGCTGGAGTCCCTGTGCTTGCTTAAGCAGGTGCTGAATCCACTGAGCCACCTCACTATCCCCATGCAAACTCTTCTAAACTTAAAACTCAATGCAGCTCTAATTAGATTCTCTAGACTTTTTTCTGGAACTAGTTAAAATAATTCAAAAATTCTTACTAGTGTATGTGTTTACTATAAGACCACCTAACTAAAACATGGCATTAATATTAGAACAGTAGGCAAATTGTGCAGTGGACCACACTAGAGAGTAGAGTAGTAGTCTGAGTCTCCAGAAGAAATTAACATTTGGCAAAAGTAGCAGTGTGGTGCATGAGCAAGTGATAGTCTATTTTAATAGTTTATTTAATAAAGTAGCTGAGTAAGTTGGTATAACTTGCTATCTGAAAGTAAACACCTCATACCACAAATAAAATCAAAGTCATTTGGATTCAGAGATATTTGTTTGGCCTTGGAATCGGGGGACACCTTCCTTAACAAGGCATAAAATGCCCAGAAAAATATAATCAGATTATGGATGGCTAAAAGATTTTCATAGCAAGCGCCATAAACAAAGTTTAAAGGCAAATATAGCAAATGATCAGAAGATAACAAACAATGTTATAGTTTGCAAATAGAATCAAATGCATCTTTAGTCGCAAAAGACATGATTCAAGTATTTGAGTTGCCTTTCAAGCTGAACCTGTGAACAGGCACAGATGATGAGGGGCTATTTTCTGTAGTTGAAGAGGAGCCACTGAAGCATTCCAACCAAGGGATGACATCATAATGACATTACTCTAAATTTTAAAAAATCTTTTATTCATTTATTTATTGGGTGCAGGGTCTTGTTACGCAGCTCAGACTCATAGTGATCCTCCTTTCTCAGCCTCCCCAGTGCTGGGATTATAGGCATGCACCACCATGGCATTCAGTACCGGGGATGGAACTTGGGTCCTTGCACTTGCCAGGCAGGTGCTTACACTGCTGAGCTATCTTTGCAGCCTCTGACATTCTTTTAGAAAGAAGAAATTATTGTAAGAGCTAGGTAAGAAAAGATAAACTGAACAAGCATGGAAAAAATGGGAAGTAGGATGGAAAAGACTCAAATGTGATTTATGGAAGAGAACTGGAAACATGGGAGTCTCGGTAGGATGAGGGGTAAAGGAAGGCAAAGAAAAGGCTGACTCTAGCCCCCAACCACCTTCCTGGCACCCGAGAGAACACAACACTTTCTCTTGACACTGGATGAGCAAAATCCTTTAGGTAAAGTGGAAGAAGATGCATGTAGGGAAGCTTGAATTTTGAGGTCTACAGGATTTCCAGTGAGATCAGCCTTACATGCCTGGAGTTGGGGAGAGATTTATGTGAAAATGGAGGAGTCATTAGGAGCTGGTTGGCAGGGTATATGCCCCTTTTTTGATCATTACTCCAGTGAGGTGTATGCAAATCAGATTGCTGGCCAAGGAAGCTTTCTGGGAGCTGATCATTAGGATTGAAGTTCTAATGACAGGGTGAAGCTTTGTGCATCAGATGAGGACAGGAATTCTGGGAAATGGCTTGGCCACGGGAAGCCATGGAGTCTTGAAACACAGTGCTTCATGGCTAGATTTCAATGTGGAGTTTTTGAGTGGAAATGTTTACTTAAATAGTTAACTTACTGTACCAAAAAAACAAGTAGCTGTTCGGCCCAGAGTTGTTGGGAATTCATCCACGATGCTATCTTATAATTCTTTCTTTATTATAATAGTGGAATTGTACATTTTAATTTAAGAGAAATATGATTCTAGAAGTAAATGTTCAGTGCCCTTAACAAAAGCAGAGGGCTTCTTAGACCTCAAACATTTATGAGACTTTTGAAACACTTAGGAGTTTGTGAAAGATGATGCATTGCACTTGAAAATTGTCAAGAGTGTCCAGCAGAGATAATTAATACTTATTTTTAATTAGATTCTGCGTTCATGGAAGGAATATGACCTAGCAGTAATGATTATAAATTATGGGAAAAAGATGTTGGACATCACACCAGCGTGCAAATCTGTATTTGGCAAAAGTGAAGAAGACATGCTCGAGAAGGTAATTGTTTTTGCTTATTTTGATACATAGTTGGGTCTTTTGGAGATCATTTAGTATGTAAATAAATATATTAGAAAATTGATCAGCTTTTAATTTGTCATTTATGTAGAAGAAAAGTAATATGGTTAAGAGAGATTTTCGATTTTTAAACATGTTTTGAGTTGTAGTAAAAGAAAAGTTACATGTGTGATGAACAGCTTTTTAGAAGTTTAAAAACAGTTGTGTGGGTGTGGCCCAGAAAGTGGACGGGGCATCTGTGCTGGTATGTCACCAGTCCCCGTCACCTGTAGTGACCGTCACTGAGGTAAGAATGGGCAGCTTCCTGTGCCCACAGAAGGTGCACCAAAAGCCTTCTACAGTCCCTTTTGAATCTAGGATTTTATTGTTTTGGGTGTCAGTGAATGTAGTAAACCTATGGCAGAGCTTTTGGTAAAGTATAAATTTTATTTTTTTATTAGTATGTGTTTGCAGTATACAATAGTTACAGCCATAGTAGGGAATTGGAGATGTGTGGAACACACCTTCATTCTTTTTTCTCATCCCCATCTTGTGTTCAAAGCAGATTCTGAAACTTACTGTACTATTTACAGTCTTGTTTTTTATGAGACTGCTCATTTTTAGACTTTTTTTTCTTGGTGGCTGGCTCATCCTGCCCTAGGGGCGGGCTAGTGTGGCATGTGGTGCCAGGGATCGAACTGCGATCTCTGCACACTTGCTTATACTTGCCTAAGCAGGCGCTTTAGGCCATTGAGCTAGCTCGCTGGCACCTTTAGACTAATTTTTAATATGTCCTTTCTAGGCATGGGTCTTATAAGAGCTTGCACCTTAGTTGCCTTTCCTTTAAGCTATGTGGGTTAAATGCATGTTTAAATCAAGTTTTGAAATGTTTATTTTCTGGGTTTCTGTAGCACCCTAGAAATTACATGAAGCCCTTTCGGTAGCTTGTGTGTGGGTAGAGATGTTCCTGCTCAGCATTATTTGGGTGAGATTAGCCCCACTTTCATCTCTTCGTACATGGTGAGGCAGAAAGGTAGTGTTGCTTATGTTATCTGCTTCCAAGAAAGCATCTGGTTTTCACACAAAACATAGCTTCACAAATCACCACTACACTACTGAGTAACTTTTAAAGAAGCTACTTCTTTTTGTTTTTTTTTGGTGGAGGAGTTTGTTTTCTCTAGAGTGTGCGATTAAGTTGGACGCACTTGGTGTGTTTTTCCGTATTTACTCTCAGAGGCCCGAGACGGCATCCAGGCTTTGACCCAGGACTCGGTTGCTCCACATCACTGTGGGGTTCAGGGCTGTCACCTCCTGCCTTGGAGCTTCTGGTATGGTAGGGAGTTGTGCTGCTTGACTGACAGTTTACAGAGGTAGGGGCCCTTCGATCCACCCAAAGTCCCTGTTAGCCTAATAATGCTAGCGTTTCCTCCCCATCCAGCACACACAGTGACCTGGCAGTTCTGAGACTCAGAAATAAAACCTGCTGGCAGCTGAACAGACGGCCTGGTTCTTACCCCACTAAGGACCGACCCTCTTACAATGCCCCTGTGGTGGAGCAAGTTGACTGGTGGTCAACTTGTTATGCCCAGCTGACCTGAGCTAGGGTGGTGCTAGGTGTGGGAGGCCCACAAAGGGACTGCGGCTGGCAGCGTAAGAGGCAGAACTGGAAAGCTGTTGGGAGGCTGTTAGGGAAGTTGGAGCTCAGAGCTGGTGGGAGCTGCTGGTTCTCCTGGGCTATCCTGCTGGATGACCTTGTCATGCTGGCTTTCCTGGTGAACTTGGCTGTTTTTGTGCCTGGAGGAGCTGAGGACCTTGTTGTCACTGAGAATGGCTATGGTTCATTTTGGGGGAGCTCTGGTCCTTATCTTGAGCATCACTTCCTGGCTCCAGAGGGGAAGATGGTGCACAGTTCAGGCTTCTGGAGAAGCTGGTCATGTTGGCTTTCCCAATGGGAACTTGGCTTTCCTCATCACTGGAGGAGCTGGGCACCTCACTGTTGCTGAGGCTGGCTGTGGTACCTTTTTGGGGAGCTCTTAGTTTTTACCTTGACTGTTGTTTCTTGGCTCCAGTTCAGATCCCTCAGCCTTCTGGCACAGACCCTTCATTCCACTGGCACAGACTTTCTAGCTTCCACCACTGACCTTTGGGCTTTTTCAGCACAGATCCATGAAGCCAGCCTGCATGAGACATTGCCAGGTCTCCAGATGGACTTGTGGGAGGCATTGTTATGGGCTCCAGGTCTTCGCTGGACTCATGCAGGCTATTATGACCCAGGCTCTCAGCTGGAGTCTTTTGTTTTTAGTGTGTGGACAGATTTCCTGCACTCTTTGTATATGATTCTTCTGGTGATTATAAAATAATCTTATGAAATGTGTCCCGTATTGTATTGATCCCCTTGCAAAAGCCCCAAACTATGACAGCCACCAAAGACAACATAGTAAAGGCAATCAGCTTAGTTGTAAAGAATTTCCTTCTGGAAAAAGAAAAGAAAGCCAGTGAAGGGATCCGTTCCTGAGGGCAGGCTGGGGGTTTTCCTTTGAGGGTTTTTAGCTGTGTCGGATGGGGCTGGTTGGAGGGGCGGGATGTACTGGAAAGGAGGACAGGCGAAAGAAGCATTTTTGTTGTTGTCCATGAAGCACTTGGTGGTACTGTGTCTGGTTTTCAGTTGGAACTCAGTGTCTGTTTATTTTTTAATTTCATTTATTTATTTATTTTTTTGTGGCCTGCTCAGTCCGCCTTGGGGGCGGGGCTGGCATGGCATGTGGTGTTGGGATGCAGCCGTGGGTCCCTAGCCCTGCCTGAGCTTGCCTAAGCAGGCGCTTTAGACTGCTGAGCTGTCTCCCCAGCCCAGGACTCAGTATCTGTTATTGTTAATTACGGGTTGGTATTACGTAGCCACGTAGATCATAGTTTTGTCTACCAAATATGAAAGTATAAAACGTAAAGTCATTTGAAAAATCAGTTTTCATAACACGTTAAAGTACAGCCTGACATTTAACCAATGTTTCTAGTCTTCTTCTTCTAAGAAACCTCTAAAAAATAAGAAGCCACAGCAGATACTGTCACCGGAGAAAATAAACGAACAACTGTTCTTGTTGGAGACACATCTACTGAGGATGACAAAACAATGTAATTTTTTCCTGTATACATCTATTCAGCATATGTTTCTTAAAAAGAGAACATCTTTAAAAAATGGATTCAGATGTGATTGGCATTTTGGTAACCCCTTTGAGGTTTACACAGTGCTTTTGCGTTATGTTATTAAGCCTGATGGTAGCTTGTTAGTAAGGGGTTCTAGCTTTCTATGGGTGTAGCTCATAAAGGTTAGATGATTTACTTAAGCTTACAGAGTGGGTGTGAACTTGAGCCCATGTAACTCTGGCTCTCAAGGATTTCTCAACCTTGACACTACTGAATGTTAAGCCTCAAGGTTGTTTGTATGGTGGACATTGAAGGATGTTGGACAGCATGCCTGGTCTCTTTCTGTGGAAGTACAGCACACTGACCCCCCCATTGTGACAATCAGTCAAGAGGCACAGGTTACCAAGTGCATTGGTGGTGAGGGGGGAGGGACACCACACTGAGAATCTTTGCTCTACAGGCAAAAATACAACTGGTAAATAACGGAATAGGGTGGGATTCTAGTGTGGAAGTGGTTGGAAGCAGGGTCTACTAGAGTAGAAACTACAGTGAAAGATTAGTTTAATCTTACGTCCTTGTACTGTAGGGATTTCATAGTGGACTAATGTGTTAATGTACTGGATATTATTTTGGAGGTTGCAGTTTGGAAAGCAGCTTGGGAAACTGATTCAGTTTTTGATGATGACTAGTATGGCCATATTTTAAAAATTATATTAAAAATCCTTGGCTAGGGATATGCAGTTAAAGCACCTGCCTGGCAAGCACAAGGACCCCAGTTCAATCCCTAGTACCACACACCATGCTGGCCCTTGGAGTCCTGGGGTACTGAGCTGGCCGCTGAAACTGGGCATGGTGATGCATGCCTGTAATCCCAGCGCTGGGGAGGCTGAGACAAGAGAGTCAGTACAAGTCCAAGCTGTGTAGTGAAATTCTGTACCAAATAAACCAATCAATCCTAGAACAAGAGAGTACCCAGATTTCTTCCAGGAGGGAAGGTCTAAATGTGGCTCATGCTGACTCTATCTAGAGGATTCCATGGCCCCACTTCATTTTGCTGTGTGCTTCGGTTATATTTTGGAGGTCGTCCTGCTTCAGCGTTGCCTGACGTGGCTGTATGTTTTCAATGTGTTTTGTGCCCATTTCAAGCTGAATTTGTGAACTGAAGCCAGTGTTCTATTCTTACAATTAGTAAACCTAGTTTTAGACAGCTGCAATTTCCTTATTACATATGAAAGTGTAATTCCTTAGAAATTTTAGGTGTCCTAAAAATGGAAATTATTCATTTTCATAAATCAATAAAACTTTTAACTAAGAAGCTTAATGTATTACTAGTTAAGCAGTAAATTGAGTAACAATAATAACAGTTTGGTACAGTGTTTCTGAGTGGCAGGCACTATTTAAATATTTTATGTATGCATTAAAAATCATGTGATCCATGTATAAGAACCATCTAATGAAGGTACTGTTTTCATCCCCATTTTTTGTTTTTATGTATTTGGTACAGGGTCTCACTGTGCAGCTTGGATTCATAGTGATCCTTCTGTTTTCAGCCTCCCCAGCGCTGGGATTGCAGGCATGTGCCACCAATCCTGGTCTCAGTGGCTGGCTCTGTGCGCTTAGGATTCCTGGGCTGGGGTGACGTGGAGTGCCGGTGATTGAACCCTGGTCCCTGCACTTGCCAGCCCCTTATCCCCATTTTAAACTGTTCTCTAGCTACTAAGTAACCTCACAAGGATTCAAAACTAAGTGTCAGGGTTAGTAACTGAACCCAGCCAGCCTGGTGGAGCAGCTCTGCTGTAGTTTATGCTGCCTTTATTGCTAAATTTGGGTGATAGCCTCCTGCTTTAGCAGTTAGGGAAAAATAAGGAAGTGCTTGAGATTATGAGATTCTATCTCCAAAATATAATATCATAATTGATATTTTAAGTGACATGATTTGGAATGAATAGTAGAACATTTTCCTCTTTGTTATTCCCTCCAAAGAAATTTTGGTTTTGGTTGTTTATGTTAAATATTATCTAAAATATATTCATTTTTTAAACCTTAGATACTGTCCCTGAGCTCTCAGGAACAGAAGACCCAATATTTCTTTACTCTGTGGTTTTGAACTGGTCAGTGAAAGGTGCTGTGAAAGAAGGTAGGTGACCTGATTCTCCATGTGCCGTTCAAATGCTTTACCAGTGATGATTGCTGGGTTTTGTTCTTTTGTGGAAAGATTTTAGCTGTCACAGGCAGAATACTTTGGGTTCTTACCCTCTCAGAAGGATGCAGTCTTATTGCCAAGTAACGAAAGAGCCGATTTGAACTCTGGACAGAAAGAACCTTCATGGCGGCTTAGTGTGGAAGTGAACAGTGTCTTTAGCAAGCTGCAAAAATGAAGGAATTGAAAAATACATCACTGATAATTTCACTTAGGAAGAGATAACAACCCCATTGCTTGATTTTCAGAATGTTTTATAGTAAAAATTAGGGTAGCTAGGCAATTATTGCTATTTTCCCCAGTTAGCATGTGTTAGCAGTAACTTTTAACCAAATCCTCAACACTGACAAATTTGAAAAACCAAGTGAAACAGAGACAAGTACAGGATTAGTTGATTTTAGAAAACAGCAATAGCACATACCGCGTTTACTTCTGTATTTTTTAAAAGTGGGAAGTCTAAGAGGCAGCATCATCGACTTGCCTGTTGGATCATTATGGCTATTAGTACTGAGAACCTTTCAGCAACTTCAGTAACTTAAGCTTAACTATGTATGAACTTCTTGGTTTTTACAGTTATGAAGTTTAAGCAAAGACCCAGATTCCTGGAATTCTTTACGCACATTATGCTTAAATGTATCAATGATGAAAAATTTCACCTTGTGTTGGAGATAACAGCACCTGTCTGTGACTTCCTGAAAAGGTACATGTGTATTGGTTTTATACATGTTAGCAGCTTTAAAAAATGAGCAGTGCTGTCACCTTAAGGTACAAAAAGTGAACGCAAGGACTGCACAGGGCTTGCACTTGGGAAACAGTGAAAAGTGATGTCTCTGTGGGTGACTAAGTCACAGCAGGTAAAAATACCTATACAGCAGCTCTAAGAAATGAGACTAGAAGATGTTCAGATTTTCAGGAGGAAGTAGATGAAGTCTTGCTATTGGGATCAGAAGACTAAGAGTATCTTCCCAGATTCTTTGCTGTATGTCACCCAAGGCTTAGTTTGGGTGATTTTCACGTGTTTATAATTCTTATAATGAGTAGAACCATTTTGTATATGAATCAGAAGTGCCTCGTTAGACACAGAAGACTTAAAGCTGTCATACTCATTCTCTAAGTCCAAGTGATTCTCTTTGCTTCCGAAAAAAAAAAAATGCTGTTGTGCCCTGCCAGTTAGGAGAATGCCACGTGAATCCATCTCTCTTCGGACAACTGAGAAGCGGGCTTTAGTTTCATGACTGGACATAAATCTATTCATCCTGTTTCAATAAAAGTAAATATCCTTAACATAAGATCTGGTTTTTTTAGACAGGGTCTTGCTATGCAGTTCAGGCTGGCCTTAAACACTGTCTAGCCCAGGCACTCCTGAAACTAATGGCAGTCTTCCTGACTCAGCCTCCCCAGCACTAGGAGTATAGGTGCGTGCCACCACACCCGATTAGTTTTTATTTTTTTAAGGTTTTTAAAGAGAATATAAAATAGTGTTAAGACAGAAAAATTACAAGTGATAAAGAATTTCACTCAACAAAATAATATATCACAATATTTGTTATACTGCATAGTATTGTCTCCCAATTAGTTGTTCATTTTTCCAGATATCTGCATGTAAACTTGGAAGAAGAAAGAAAAAAAAGAAATATATAAGAAATTAAGAAGGATAAAAATCAAAGAATTGAAAAAAAGTAGGCAAAACAAATTAAGCATTAACTGCTGCTTTCCGTAGACCAGCATAAATTCGCAGTACAGTTGTCCAAGCCATCCTACTTACATACATAGATATATCTCTTTCCCTTATTATCTCTCCTGTCCTTCTCAACTCAGTAATCCCTTCCTTTTTAATAGGTTCATCCCATTTTCCTAGTAAGATCTAGTTTTTAAAATGGCAACAAGGGTGGGCATAGTGGCACACACTTGTAATCCTAGCATTTGGGAGGCAGAGGCAGGAAGATCCTTGCGAGTTCGAGATCAGCCTGGATCACCAAGTGAGCTTAAGATCATCCTGAACTGCATAGTGAGACCCTGTCTCAAAAAGATAATAAAAATAAAAAGGCAAAAAAGAGCATTACTCTACTTATTTATTTTGTATGTATATGGTTGCTATAGGGTCTCACTACGCAACTCAGACTTGTAGTGATCCTCCTGTTTTCAGCCTCCCCAGAACTGGGATTATAGGTGTGCACCACCATGCTTGGTCTTGGCGGCCGGATTGTGCAGGGGCAGGGCTGGTGCTGCATGTGTACTGCAGGTCAAACCTGAGTCCCTGTGCTTGCCTAAGCAGGCGCTTAGTCCACTGACTGATCTATCTCACCGGCTCCAGCATTCCTTTAAACATTCACAAATATATTTTTTCTAAAATAGGTACTTTATTTATTAGAGCAAAAGCTTTGAATATATGGGCTTCATATTTTCAAAAGATACTGGAAGAAATTGCTTCCATTAAATGAAGCTAGCTACAGCAATCAGAGGATTAGTCAGAATTAAAAGTTCCATTCAGTTAAAAACTTAAGCCAAAAGTGCACGTTTAGACATTTCAAGTAATGCTTTTGATCCCGAAGAAGATCAGAAAAGTTTTGATGTGCAGAGAAATGTGGAGGAGCGGCAATGGAAGTCCAAGGTAAGACTGATAGCTGTTCTGAAAGGGAAACAGGCTTGGTGGCTGAGAAGCATTGATGGGGGCTGATAATAAGGAACAGTAAAAGCCCTGAGGTTGGAGACAGCGGTGTAACTGAGGTCATAACAGAGGTGAGAATTTCAGTTCTCAAGGCCAGCACATGCTTTGGGATGTGCTGACGCAGCGGTGTGATCGCTCCTTTAGTTCTGACGTCTGTTTTCTGTGTATGTTCCTGTGTCTAATGTATTCTTACACATAAACGTGTTTTTGTATTGCACCAGAAAAATATATATGTCTTCTTCCAGTTTATGGTTTTATAATTCGCATTTAATGTTGTAATACATATGGGATTAATTTTGGTACTGGAACTTGAATTAAACTTTAGCTTTTTTCCTAGTTGACCTGGTAATATGTACAGACTAACTCTCTTCCTCAGCATCTTTTTTTTTTTTTTTTTTTGCAGAACTGGGGATTGAACTCAGGCCCTTACACTTGCCAGGGAAGCACTTATTCCACTGAGCCATCTCCCTGGCCCCTCCTCAGTCATTTTTAATGTTACTTTTTCATTTTTAAAGTGGATACATCTACTAATAATGTTTATAAATCACAATGGAGATATTTCATGAACTTTCATGTTCTGCCTAACAAAAAATCAAAGTACTACATATGGGAATAATTGCTACAAAGAGGATTAATTTGACAGAGACATAGTAATATTGAAAAAGTTTAAATTGCAACTTACAATACCAAAGTAGAACGTAGAAGATGTATGAAATTTAAGATTAATTGAATATAGTTAGCCAATGGGGACTAAATATTGTTTAACATTCCTGAGATAAATTATGACGAGAAACCATTCATATCACATATATCTAAAGAAGCAATTAGAGGAAAATTCTCAGCTTTAGAAGCTTCTGCTGCAAAATAAAATATATAAGGCTAGATTAACTTTTATTAAGGTCAAGAAACTAGAGAAATAAAATTATACAAGCAATGAAGAGAAAATAAATATAAAAGTTAAAAATAATCAATTACAAATTAAAGATAGCCTAATTGATAAGTATAACTTGTTCTTTAAGAATATTGATAAATTAGGTATATTTGTTTGTTTGTTTCTTTTTTTTTTTTTTTTTGCGGAACCAGGGATTGAACTCAGGCCCTTGCGCTTGTCAGGGAAGCGCTTATTCCACTGAGCCATCTCCCTGGCCCCCTAGGTATATTTGTTTCTTGACAGCATAATAAGAAAGTGAGAAAAATAAATAATCCAATGAGAAAGTAATCACAAATTTGGAAGTAGCTGAGTAAATATTAAGTAACAGTGCGTAAGATTTCATGTGAAAGAGCCAGTGAGATAGCTCAGTGGAATAGGCACTTGCTTAGGCAAGAGCAGGGACCAGAGTTTGATGCCCTGCACCACATGCCATACCAGCCTAGTCCCCAGGTGTGCTGAGCTGGCCACCACTGGACGTGGTGGTGGTGCATGCCTGTAACCCCAGCATTGAGAAGGCTGAAAACAGGAGGATCACTATGAATCCAAGCTGTGTAGTGAGACCCTGTACCAAATACATTAAAAAAAAGAGAGAGATTTCGTGTTAATAAACTTAAAAACCTGGTTAAAAGTGAAGGCAAAAAGTTTATAATGAAGTAAAGTAGTAAAAATTTGAACAGCTCAAGAATTTTTAGAATAATTTGTATTTTTAGGGAATGCATTTTTTAAATATAAAAGTATTTTAAAACATGAGGGCTGGCCAGATAGCTCAGCAGACTAAAGCACCTGCTTTAGCAGAGTGTGGCGGCCGGGGTTCACTTCCCAGTGTGCCATGCCAGCCCCGCCCCAGGGGCACGATGAGGCCACAGTCGAGACTGGGTGTGGTGGTGCATACCTGTAATCCCAGTACTTGGGAGGATGAAAACAGGAGAATCATTATGAGTTGGATCTATGTAGTAAGACTACAGGGTCACCCTGTAGACCCTGCCCTAAATTCATAAAACCCCCCAGGAATATGAAGTTTCCTATTAAAATGAGCACAGTGGGCTCTGATGAGAGAGCCATGTGAAAGTTAATGAAAAAGTAGAAAATAATGGAGCAATCTTTTTTAGCAGTATGTACATGTGAAAGTCTAGAATAACATTAGCATGTGAGTTCAGCTGTAATTTTATTCTCAGTGCAAATGGAGCAGGAAATCTTAAAACATAATTATTATTGATAGTCAAAGGAGGCATTAGAAAAGATGAAAAAGTCAGTTGTGTTGAAATTCGGCAATCATTCCTGGAATTATATTTGGTACAGGGTCTCACTATGCAGTTTGAACTCTGAGTGATCCTCCTGTTTTCAGCCTCCCTAGTGCTGGGATTACAGGTGTGTGCCACCATACCCAGTCTTTGTGGCCAGCTCTTTGTGCCTGGGGGCAGGGCTGGCGTGGCACCAGGACTGAACCCCAGTCCCTGCGCTTGTCTAAGCAGGTGCTTAGTCTGCTGAGCTATCTTTCCAGCCCTCTGCTCTAAAGTTCTTTGCTCTGAAGGTTCTTGCCGGTGCATTGAGAAACATAACAGAAGTGAGAATTAGCCCTTTCGTGATTACCACGTCTTAGAGTTTGAATATTGTTTGTGAAATCAATTCCCCAGTGAAATACTCTGAAAATGGGGATATTTGCAAACAATTATCTTAAATTTAAAGATATTTAAATGAAAACCATTATAGCTAATAATAGAAGTTTGTAAGATGGTTAGATGAAAAATCAGTAGCTTTTCCATTTCTGCTAGAGAATACAATGGAAAGCTGATCCCTTTCTATGGAATACATGATTAAATATATCAGAGATTATGAAGAGTCTCAGAGTAATAAGAAGATGAAAATCTATACTATGAGCAAAAAGACTTGAATAAATGAAGACGCAGGACAGTGATGGGCAGACAGAAGGAGTAAAGATTTCCCTTCTCTTCAAATTAGTCTGTTAGCCTAAATTCCAGTCAGCTTATAGAACAGGTTAGAAAGAATAAAATTACTTGAAAAACATAAAGAACAAAAAAGGGATTTGTACTGTCAGATAAAAATATACTGGAGTCATACTTGTGAGATAACAGACAGAGAGACATTGGGCCTCAATTGCAGAAACAGGCAGTGTAATTAAAGTGATGAAAAGCCATAAAATAAAGGGTCAGTAATACTACATAAAAATCTAAGAATATTAAATATCAAAACACCATGAACAATATAAAAAGCCATAAATGAAGCTCTGTGGAGCTGAGAAGAGGTGAAGAAGAGGAATCTGGTGGACTTAGTGGCTCAGGTTCTGCAGCTCATGGAGGAAGGTGCAGACTTTTGGCGCAATGTTATCCGAGTGTCCACATTTTAGACCTTCTCCCCTTCCCATCCCTTTCTGGAATGACATAGTAACTGTCAAACACTGGGTGGTACAGGGAGGGAGGATGTAAGGGAGAGACTAATAATTTGGTTGGAAAGTGGCAGGGAACCAGTCCCAGGGTGCACATTGCAAAGGGTAACACCTAAATCTCCAGCGGTCCTTAGTTCAGGCTTTCCAGGTTTGCCACGTAAGACACTTGCCAAATGAATGTCAACTAACTGGAGAGTGTCTTGGAATTGCTGCCACTGGGTCGGTGTGCTCGCCAACCACAGGATTCAAAATCATCTTCATAGAGGCTGGAGAGGCCACCCGCCCTGGGGACCAAGACCAGTCTGGAACACAGCATATTCCAGGCTCACCCAGTCATTCCATTAACCATGCATTTTGGTGCCTTAAACTTAACATTTAAATTCTTGGATCCCATTTGTCGTGTTATAGCAAGCTTTCGCTGTACCTGTCAAATACTAAATGAAATGTAAATTCCAGAAAATATACAAATGCCAGGAACATTGCATGGTAATGTCAGTAGGAAAATGAGAGACTACAGTATTTGGAAAGGATGAAGTAAGAAAATAAGGCCAAGAACTCCTGTAGATGGCTGAGGGAAGGGAGCAAGCTCAAGGCACCTAATGTGCTTAGTTTCTTCTGGTACCTCGAAGGCAGTAGTGGCTGGGAATTTGCACAGTATGGAACTAAAAAGAATGAAGTAAGGAGGGTTTTTTTTGGAAGTAAGGAGGTTTGTGTGGGATCACTTGGATTTAGTTATAATCTCAGTTACAAAGGGGATTGTCCATATTGCTTTATTCTCAGGGGAGATCTGCTGCACTTACAGTATGCCTACAACCCCTCCCTCTTCTTACACACTGTAGATACACAGCTCCAAGTGCATTGTCTGGTGTGATTTACACTTTGCTCTTTTGAGAGGTCAACAGTTCCTTGAAGAGAGACCCCTTTGGACCTTATGCATGGGACACAAGCAATTTTGAATCTCTTTCTTGCATAAATTCAATGACATTCAGTAAAGATTTATTACTTTGGGGTAGTTTTGTGAATGTTGGCAAATCTTTTTGATCAAATTTATCTTTTTTTTTAAAGGAGGAATGAGTCCCTACTTGGAGTGAGAAAAATAAAAATTAAGGAGAATGTCATTAGTGGAAAGACCAACATACCTTTTAAGTTCAAAATAGCAACAATAGAGTTTGGAACAGTGAGTTTTCTATGAAGTTTGAATTGTAAATTAATGGAATGAATTGAGGAGAGCATGTAGAGATGGTTGGCTATACTATACTTTATTACAATAAGAAAAAACAAAATAATTTTATAAGTCTATAATACATTATAAATTCTTAAGATACTTGTTTTTGGTACTGAGAATCAAACTGAAGACCTTGCAATTTCCAGGTAGACACTTCTGCCACTGAGCTATATCCCTGGCCCTAAATTCTTAAGTTATATATTTTTGTAATAAAATTCCTTTGTGTGGGTACTTCTGTTATTCTATTTATTTATTTATTTTTTTGCGGTACCAGGGATGGAATTTGGGACCTTGTGCTTGCCAGGCGGGCACTCATGCCGCTGAGCTATCTCCTCAGCCCTTTGATAGGCATTTTAATTGAAAATTGTAAAGAATCACTTTGTTTCAGTGCCAAGAAATAAGCATTAGAATATGAGTAAGTTATAATTTTGTGATCAAAGTTTAAATTTTATTTATAACATTTTTTGTTATTTCCACTATAAAGGGTACAGAAACGACATCAAGGAAAAAAAATAAAAGAAAGGAAACACTAAAAGATTTTTATGCCAAAAACCCATCCGTTCTTGAATTGACAGAATATGAAAGGTATTAACTGATTAATTCTATAAAAGTGTACTTGAAGGTTGCTATGTATTTTTGGTACTAAGGACTCAGTGGCAAACAAAGATAAAACCACTGTCTTCTGTGAATTTGTTCATAAATGAAAGAGCACTATCCCCAAGCAGGCACATAAGAGGTGTGCTGCGGAGTCACCGGCTGCAGCAGCAGATGGGCTGGCTCGGAGACCAAGTTATGAATTATTTTTAATTGTCATAGGATCTAATGTTCTTTAACAATTTTAATTGATACAAATAATATGTGTATGTGTTAAAGGGATACAGTATGTGAAGTCAGTATACACGTACAATGTGTAATGACCAGACCAGGGTAACCAGCATTTCTACCATCTCAAGCGTTTATCATCTCTTTGTGTTGAGATCTTAGTTACTTTAAAACCTAAAGCGTTTGTTGTACATTATTGTGCTGTAGAACACTTAAATGAGTTCCTCCTCCCTACCTGTATTTTGGTATCCATTGTCGGATCTTTCCCCTGATACCTAGCTGGTCTCTAGTGATCTCTATTCTACTGTCCTCTGAGATTTCCTGATTGTAGCTATCACAAACAAGTTAGAACAGGTGTTTTTTGGTCTTTCTTATTTCATGTGCCTGTCTTATTTCATTTAACATGATTTCCTTCAGTTCCATCCATGTTGCCCCAAATGAACAAGACTGCACTTTTAAGACTGAATAATGTTCTATTGTGTTTGGATACCATGTTTTTTATCTCTTCATCCACCAATGGCTATGTCCATTGATTCCATAATGTAGCTAATATGAATTGGGCTGCAATAAACATAACTGTACAGGATATCTTTGATGTAATGATTTCATTTCCTTTGGCTATATCCCCAGTAGTGAGATTACTGGATTATGTGGTCATTGTATTTTTTGTTTATTGTATTAGTTTTTGTTTATAGAGAAGCTATTCTAAGTCCTTTTATAGAAAACTATCCAAGATATGCATGAAGGAAAAAGATGCCAGAGAGACTTTTTCTATTGGACAGCAAAATTTAATTTAAAGCCAAAGTAGTAATGATGGTTTGATATTAACTTAGGGGTAGATAAAGAAAGCCGAGCATGATTGTGCCTGCCTGTAATCCCAGCACACTGGGAGGCTGAGGCAAGAGGATGGCAAGTTTAAGTCCAGCCCACGCAATTTAGTAAAACCCCATCTGAAAAAGAAGACGCCACAACAAAGAAAGGCTGACTGGGTATAGCAGGTCAACTGCTTATAACTGAAAAAAAGTATTTGAAAATGCATGCCGAAAGAAGTCTACTATCACATATATATATATATATATATATTTATATATCGTCTTTCTTTGCCTGCTTAGTGATTTTGATCTTAATTGCTACAGCCACATAGAGTAACAGGATCATTTCTTTCTTCTGTTTGCATTCATATATTATCTCTTTGATTCTTCCTCTTTTTGTTTACTTATATTATAATACACTCTAGATGACACCATTTATTAGTTTATCCTATTTTCACTGTCACTTTTGTCATATATATGTGACTTATTAAAACTATATATGATACTTATTAAAAATTAGTACTTTCATGCTACTTATTAAAAATACATTTATTAGGAAACAAATGAGCATAGCATTAAAAACAATGAAACAACCAAAGCATCAGAAGCATCTAAAAGTAAGCCATTCACAAACCTAAAATATTGTGAATTAAATGATATTGTAAAAATTCATGTTAAAAGGGAATGCTTCCTTCTTTCTTTTCTTCCTCACATTTGCTTCTCTTTATATAGCCGTAAAACTATGTCCCTTCTTCTTTCTATCTCTGCCTCCCTTTCCTCCTTCCTCCCTTCTCCTGTGTTCATCCAGACTCTATATACAGAGCTCGTCACTCTGATGTACTTCTGGGCTCTGTCGTCTCCCCACACCCTTCTCCAGTGTGAGTGAGGTAGGGTGGTCCTGACCAGCCAGTGGGACAGAATATCACCCCCAGAACAAAGCAGATTGGTGAAGTGTTTTGAAGAATTGATGCTTCCCGGGCCCATCTAACTACAAAAATAGTTGGACTACTCGAGGAGTGTTTTTTTTAAAAATCAAATATACATTATACTTAAAAACGGACTATTAGGTAAAATTTGATTTTTTCTGGAGTATATTGCGATCATGTCATGTATATTTGACTGATGTTTTATTTCCTCTAGAGTCTAACTGTGTTAGACAGAATTTTGCTCCATTGGTTTTGTCCTTAAGGACCAGTACAGAGAAATGATTTTCTCTTTTAATATTGAAGTTAGTTGATGAATGTGAACATTGAATCATAATGTATTTGTCTACTCCCAGTGGCCCTGTGCTTACGGAAACGAATAACTCTGGGTTCAGCTGAAACATCAGAGAGTGTTGAAGGCAGTATGTGGTGCCTGTCCCTGGAGCCTACTGGTCTGTCTTCTTTCCCACCCTATTTCACATTTTTAGCACTGAGGAAATGATATACAAGTCAGAAGCATTTGCATAAGGACAGTCAAGTGACTTCTTGATTTATTTTGTACAAACTGGAATCGTTCTTTTTTTTTTTTTTTCAATGCCTAGAAGTTTTTGTGAAATTTCAAAACTTTCTCTCTTGGCAGACATAAGAGACCTGATATTAGAAGAATAGCATATCAATGCCTGATTGAGAACTTGAATCCGCTAATATTAAATTATGTCAGAAGAAACAGGTTTCACCAAATATTTCTTGAGGAGATGCCCTGGAGAGCTCAGATGAACTTGTATCTGGCACTTACACATTTCCACCTGTTTCTACAAAGGCTAGGAGAGCGTATGAAGATAAAATTTGGCACTTCACATATGATGGTCAGGTATAGTATATTACTGATAAATCACGCTTTTTAAGTCTCACAAATATGTATTGTATATTTGTGAGGCCCAGTGTTCACGACAATTTAATGAGGTTTATACAGTGTTTACTTTTTATTCTGGTCACTGATACATTTCTTCATTTGTTGGTTTGGTACCTTTTCTGTACAAGTGTTGGTTACACTTGCTTAGGATGTGACAACTTCTGTATATCTTCAGTGTGTTTGTTTGTGCAGCTTTCAATGCAAGGGTAGTGTGCACTAACTGTAGATGTTAGTAGGAATTAGGAAATATATGTTAGTAGGAAATATACTCTATTTTACTTAGAAGTATATTTGAAGCCCCTGTAAACAGAAATCATATTTGCTCATATAATGTAAGTTTTCCATCATTAATTCAAAAGGTATTTTTGAGTTCGCATTGATTGTCTTTGGCTAAGTACTATGGGAGATAAAAATAGATCAGTACATGATATAGAATGCTATGTAACCATTAAAAAGGCCATTCAAAATCATTCATTAAAAAGAAATACCTATTAAGTACAGGGTGCCTATTAGATACAAGCATCTGTTAGATGCTGAGCATTGAGTTAGGTGTGATAGAAATGCAAAGCAGAGTCTCTCTCTCTCACATACACACACACACACACACACACACACACACACACACACACACACACAGATGTGTAGGTGCTTTGTTACTTTTTTACTTGTTGCTGGGACAAATACCTGACACGCAAAATGAAGGAAGGAAAGGTTTAGTAGGCAAGTAGCAGCAGTTCATGCGGCGGGAAACAATGAAGAGCAGAGGAGGAGCAGCAGCTGTGGCATCCATCAAGCATCTCTCTTCCTTCTATGCTGACTGCGAAGACCCACCCTCCACCACAAGATCATACTTTTTGTGCTGAGTCACTCTGGGGTGGCCCAGGTTGGGCCCTGAGGGCCTGCAGGGCTGGGCCCCCATGCCTGGAACTGCCTGAGCTGATTCAGCCAAGTTGACACAAATGTATCAGGTAACACTGTAGGGTATATCACATGTGTTCTTTAATAGCTATAATTAATGGTAGAAGGTCAAGCACACTCCAAACCATCTTTGTTACTAGATAGGCTTTAGGCTTTCCCCTGAATGGATCTAACAGGAAAGGTTTTGTGAGAATGGAGGAGCAGCCCGAGTCCTGCTGGATAGACATGATTTTGAAATGTGGGGATAAGGAAATAGGCATTTCCTAGTTACAAGAGTACAGGCCAGAGCCCAGCTAGGAAACACAGGATGAGAATTAAGAGGGTGGGTGGAAACAAAGTTTGTAAGTGAGCAGAGGAAGAAGGGTTCAAGTGGGGGAGGGGATTGAAAAATAGAGGAACCAGGGTGTAGCAGGTGTAGGTACAGATTCCCGATGGTGAACGTGATCGTCATGCACATCTAAATTGTGCCAATAAACTTCATAATTAAGGTTTTTTTAATTAAAAAGAGGGTATTTATTTCAGTAATCCAGTATGGGGAAAATACAGATTGAAATCTACAATGAATTTAGTTACAATGCCTGTTTCTTCAAAAGTGTGGTTAAAATCACGAGGAGTCTAACCTTAAGGAAAACATGTCCAGACAGTCCTCTTGCCTGTGTGCATGGACTACATCCACTGAGGTGGCTGGCCTGGCGAATTTCATGGGGCTGTGACCCGGGCTGCCATGCGGCTGCTCTCTTGAATGCCCAGTTGTGTGCCGTCAATTATGCAAATTCCTCAACAGCGCAAGACAATGTCAAATTTGTCAGTCCATGAAACTTGCTGCTAGATTTAATTTCATTTCATTAAAGCTGCTTAATTGATTAATGAATTAACTTTTGGTGGAGGATTGTTTACTGCTTATGCTTGAAAACGGGAAAAGAAAGAAAGATGATTATGGACACATTGGGCTGTGCAGGAGGCATCTTTATTGAGTTGCGTTGAAATCAGATGATTTTAAATTCACACAGATGATTGCCTCAGAGTGCGAGGAGTGAGTCTAGATCTCTCACTCCCATTTTCAAGGGTACTTTCAGGGAAATAGATATTGATGTTGAAATTCCTAAGAGCCAGGTTACACTGTATAATTTAAAAAGTTAATGGGAAAGTGTTTTGCTTTGATTAAGTGCCAAAATACTTTATGACTTAAAATTTGAGAGCATTCAGTCACAAAAGTTTTAAAAATAAAAAAAATATAATGTGCTTGACAGGTTTAATTCAATTTTGCTTATATTGTTTTTTAATGTGCTTTTTTGCCTTTGCAGTTTCCGATCATGTGACCCTAATTTATTCTCACTCTATAACTCAGGAACAGTATTACCAACAGGAAAAATGACTGTAGAAAATTATAAAGCAATGCTCGATTTCCTCCTTTCAGCTAAGAAAAGAAAAGCCAACCTACCATCAGGTAGAATAAGTGTGTTGATTTGCTATCCAGTTGCCTCTGGAGTTTTGTTCACTAGCACACACATATGTCACTCTAGTTTAGATCTAGACTGTCCCCCCCAAACTCTCATGGGCTCCGCAGTGAGGATTTGGGGAGGTGATTGGATTATGAGGGGATTGTACTCTCGGGGATTGAACTCAGGCCCTTGCGCTTTCCAGGCAAGCACTTATTCTACTGAGCTTTCTCCCTAGCCCCTGGGGATTGTGCTCTTTAGTGGGCTAATCTGCTGATGTGTCCAGAGCTGAATGTGCGTGTAGGGCCGGGCTGGCTGGAGGAGTTGGGTCCCTGGGGAAGTGATCTGGAAGAGTTTGTCTCCTTCCCCAAAGTGTCCTTTTTCTCTCTGCTTCCCAGTGACAGCTCTCCTCTGCTGCTGGCCCCTTCCACTTTTCCTGTTTTGGAGCTAGCGACCTATGGACTGAAAATGTGAAGCAAATAAGCCTCTTCTTTTAGTTGTGGGGGTTGGGTATGTTGTTCTAATGTCAAGAAAGTAACTAAGACACACACACACACACACACACACACACAAAGATAAACATCGTTTTCTAGAAACCCAGTAATTTGAGTTTTCCAGTTTTCATGTTTTATAGGAAAATTTTAGATTTGCTATTGAGTCTATGTTTTAGGGTGTTATATATATGGACATATCTATTTTCTGTTCCAACCTAAATCACTTTGGCTGCTCAGTAAGTGGAGAACTCTTCTGATGAATATTGGTAGCCTTCAGTAGTTTCAAGGTTGGTCAAGAATTCCTGTCAGGTGTAATATTCCTGTCAGGTAGAATTCTCTGAAAGGATTTCATCAAACACACACAGAAACAGTCCTAACAGCTGACATGGTGGGCAGGTGGCTCACTCTTGTCCTAGTGTCTCCAGCGGGCACCTTCCAGAGAAGCTCACTTGAGGATGAGTACAGCGGCAGTCTTGTGAGGGCACCAGTGTGTCCCTATCTGCCCCGGTATGTGGGGGCTCTCGGAGGTGGAGCCCTGTGAGACAACAGACCCCTCCACCTGGCTACCACATGGATGACTGCCCCCTGCCAAATTTCACTGACTCTGTACCTCTTTCCTGAAATACATTAGAGCCTTGACACCATTCCTAGCCATTATCCTCTTAAGTGCTGCTCATTTCACAAATAAAATTTTGTTTCTAATATCTTTCAGCTAATACAAACCCCATATATAAATTTTTAAATAATGTCATTTTATGCATTATTCAACTTACTGCTGGTCACTGTCTTGGTATACTTGTTAACTGCCCCAGTAGTGTTGATTCCTGTTGAATGCTTAGCATGAGTTCCGATTTCTCCTTGGGGGTAGTTTAGTTTTAACTAGTTCTTGTATACCATACAAAGTATGTTGAAGTATTTGAAGATATTATCCATAGATACAGAGTCTAATTTTTGTGTATAAGAGCAGGCCAATGGCAGGGAAATCCTCCTGCTCAGATTCCACACCATAGGGCTGCACTGCCCAATCCAGGACACTATCTACATGTCACATCTGTGTCCCAGGAATGGCCTGCTTGAGGGAACACTAGGAGCAGTGGGATTTTGTCACTGTCCCTCCCAAAGCATGTTCATTCTACCTGTGCATGCTCTTTAGCCTTCTCCTTTGTCTGAAATGCTCTCCACAGTTTTCAGTGGGAACATCATGTCCATCCTCTAAGAGCTAACAGCCTCCTTTTTCTAGAAATTTCCCCTTGGTTCATTGTGTTTGTGGTCCATCTGTCCTTTCTCCAGGTTTGTGTCTCATTTGTTTTCTGGTTTACTTATTTGATGCCTTTTACCCATTGTGTTTTCAGGGATGTAAGTCTATGTTTTCATTCATGTTTACCATATATGTATCCATATATATA